ACCTCACAGACCGGGGCATCGCAAGACGAACTCTGTTACAGAACCCTTTCCCGACCACCGAGTCAGTACCGACATTTCTCGGCCAAACACACCGCCTTCGCGGCCAGATTATGGCACTCCCATAAACGGCGGCTCTCCAATTGAACCTTCTGCTCGCCGAAGACGCAGTTCATCTGCTGCATCATCACGACCCCCGTCCATGGTCCTGGCTCATCAACCACCCACCATGGATATCACTGAGGATACAATCCCCGAACTTCAGCCTATCTTTTCATTCCTCAACAGCCATTCCAACAAGCTGTACCAAGAGGGCTATTTTCTCAAACTCGATGACCAGAATACACGTACGCTCGATCTAGCTTCCATTGCCGCTTGTTCCCCTCCACACTTGCACCCCTGTGGCGCCAAGTTTACTCCACACTCAACTATTTACACATGTGCTGCAAGGATGTTCAGCTAACAAAGTTGTTTACAGAGGGCAAACCCAACCCTGATAGAACCTGGACAGAGTGTTTTGCCCAGCTTGTGGGAACCGTCTTGTCACTATGGGATGCCGCGGAACTAGATGCAGCTGGCGAGGATGGCGAAGTCTTGCCCAAGTTTATCAACTTGACAGATGCCTCGATCAAAATGGTGAATAACCCGCTCGCGTGCCAAGTATGTCTTCACACTCGACTAACACAATTTCGTCACAGATCGAGTCGCTGCCTACAAGATCTTCAGACGAGCAACCGCTACAGAACATCCTGAGCATCTCAACGGCTGGAAGAAACAGATATCTCCTCCATTTCAACTCGCGACACTCGCTGCTGCAATGGACTGCCGGCATTCGACTAGCTATTTTCGAGCACTCCTCTCTGCAGGAGGCCTATACTGGCGCTCTAATTGCCGGCAAGGGCAAATCGCTCAACAACATTGGTGTCATCATGGAGAGGGCACGATTCCCCACCGAAGAATGGGTTAGAGTCCGATTCGGCGCTGGTGTACCTTGGAGACGATGCTGGTGTGTTATCACCCCTCCTGACGAAAAGCAGTATGCAAAGCTCCAGAAGGAGCTCAAGAAGAGATCTCCTTACGATCGATCGCCTGTTCCCACACTAAAGGGAGACATCAAGTTCTACGACCAGCGAAAGGATGGCAAGAAGCAGAAGAAGATGCAGCCAATTGCTACCATCACCGACGCCTACTCTGCCTATGCCATCTATCCTCAGTCCAAGTCATTGATTGACGCGTCGACCTTGCTCAAGGTTGAGGGTAACATTGCTATTCACACTGATCCTCCCTCGTCTACTGAAGGTTTCGTCTTCATCATGCCTGAGACACACCCTGCTGTCAGCGGATTCGAGATGTTGCTGCGTTTCCTCTTTCCTACCTGGGATACCTTTGGTCTTTACGGCCGACCTGGGAGACTTGTTGCCAGCACACTTGACTCCAGATCTCTCATGTTTGCTATGCCTAAGAGCCGCCGCTACGGTTATCTTGAGAATTTGGATGTTTCCAACCTGATTCTCGAGGATGGTAGCTCTGGATGGGGCGAGAGAGATTGGAGAAAGAAGCTCAAGGAATGCACCGGAACTCGCATGAATGCTGTGGATGATGCACCCACGACACGTTCTCGAAGCAACAGTCGAAAGAGTGTTCGACTAAGCTTTGGTGATGGACCTCCAAAACCTAAGGCCGGGTTTTCGGATGAACAAGTCCCAACCAGATCCTCGCGATCCTTCTCTCTTACTGAGCGCACTCGAACAGACTCAGCTCCCGCAGATCCTGCGAGGGTTGCCTTCGGAGGACACGGTCGTAACTCATCCGACCCCAACCAATTGGGAGGCCCTCCTTTCCGTCCTGGTACCAACGGTAATAGCCCTTACTCAGGCTCGCCACAACGTGGACAGACTCCCGTTGGCGCTCCCCGCTATAACCAAGCTTCTCGTGATGAGAGTCCCGCTTACCAGAATGAACGAGCTCCCTCTGGCTCTCCTCCCCTGAAAGACTTGGATGGAATGCGTCAGATGCATACTCCTGAACCAGTCTCACGACCCCCAGCCTTCAGCCACGGGTCCCAGGCTCGCCCCGTCAGCAGAGCCTATCATTCCCCTGAGCTTAGACGGGCTAATAGTAGGCTTTCCGTCACAACTCTGGCCCAGCTTGCCACAGCTGGAGGATTGGGTGAACCGAACGATTCGAATCCTTCTCCACGAGGAGATGAGGTGGACGCTGCAAGATCTGGACCATCGGTACTGCCACCACACGCCAACTCCGTAGGGATATCTGCTAACGACAACCGCTCGCGTGAAGCTTTAAGCCCACCGAATCAGGATCCCTCTTCCAACAGTCTTCCTCCTCCGGCCAACTTGTCCCAACAACGATCACGATCGCCACTGGCCCAGCCCCCGCTTGGGCCTCCTAATACTTACGGCCGCGGGCCCAACTCACGTCCTGGAACTTCAGAAGGACGGCGATCTCCGATGCCTCCCGGCATGCCAGCTCAACAACGACCTCCCCACCCTCAAAATACCAACCGTCGGCCTGACGTGGGTCCTGATGGCCGCCGACCGTCTGACCCTCGACGACCTGGCCCTGATGGACGCAGACCATCGGATCCTCGGGGTCCTGGCTTTGATGGACGTAGACCTTCGGACCCCCGAGGTCGTGGCAATGGTCCTCCTCCTGGCCATATGCCTCCGCCACCCGGTCCCCATGGTAATTATCGCCCCGGACCGGGGCGTCCCGGACCTCCTGGGCCTCCGGGTTATCGCCCTAACGGACCTCCTCATGGACCGCCAAATGGACCGCCGGGACCAATGGGTCCCCGAAAGCCTGTGCCAGGCGGACCTCCCCCACCTGCTCCTTTTGAAAATTCTAAGGGAAACACCATGTCGGGTAGCAGTGGGATCACCACGAATGAGATAATTGACCATTATGCGTTCGACCAAGGCCGCCAGACACCTCGGCAAGGCACCCCGAACTCAGAGAGGCGACCAGGACCCCCAGGCAGGCAAGGAAGTCACACGAGCAACCAAAGCAGTCATTATGAGGATAACTCTCCCACTAGCAGCCTCAAGAACTTTGTAGACACATACCAATACAGCGAACCAAAGCCCCGAGCTGGTGTCCTGAAGACTGTCGGTGGCGCTGAGGAGCCTGATCCTCGAAATCCTGGCTTCGATATACCAGATATCAATTTCGGCCCAACCATTAATTACGCAGCCACCAAGGACCGCAGTAAAACCCCCGGCGCTCTCACTCCTGGCGGCTCAACACAGAGACCGCATACACCCGGGGGCCAAGGACCAACGCCCCCACCTCATAAATCTTCGGGTTCTCAGGGATCTCTTGGACGTAAGGAATCCCCAGACCCAAAGCGCACTATGGCATGGCAGGCCGGCGCATCAACTCCCCCGAGCAATGCACACGGGTTAAGCCCCGAAGAATTTGTGCAGCAAAGGGCGGCTCATGCTCGGAGTGCATCCAGCAACACTTTGGGCGGCTCACCCAGCCCAGGCATGAAACGAACTAGTTCCTCTGACATGCTACAAGCTATCCAGAACGGTCGCCACTCTCGTAGCAGCTCTGCTGATCTGCTTGCACGACCTGGATCGCGGGGTGCTAGTTCGACCTTGAACTTTGCAAGCTCTGGGGAGACATCTAGCCACCTCAGTGCTCGGGAGCAGGAGCATGTTGCCCGCCTCACAGGCCAACCATTGATCAGCATGCCAGGACACCAGAGACAGGGTTCCCAGGGTAGCTTCGTGCCTGGCCATCAGAGGCAAGCTTCCTCTGGATCAGGTTTAGTCGGTGCTATCGAGGCCCGGGAACGAGAAAAGCAACAGATGAAGCAAGGAGTCAACAGCCAGGCAGTCCAGCATGCGATCAGCCAGCGACAGCAGCAACAGGCTGCCATGGCGTACCAGCAGCAGATGGCGCAGCAACAAATGGCTCAGCAGCAAATGATGCAACAGCAAATGGCCCAACAGCAACAGATTGCGTACCAGCAGCAGGCTCAGCAACAACAGAACTACCAGCAAGGATATCAACAGCCAATGATGGGTGCTGGTAACATTCCCCCATACAGCCCCATGGGCCAACCAGCTGGTCAGTACACTCCCGGTGGATCGCCGTACGGACCGGCACCTCAGCAGATGGGAGGACATGGACAGCCGAACAGTTTCTCACGACCACTCCGGGCTGCGCAGCAGGTTGACCCTCGCTTCGTACCACCTCAGGGTCAATACGGCCCATCGCCTGGAGCTCAGCAGACCACTCGAAACGTTCATCCCCAGTATCAAGGACAAGCGTTTTAGTAACGAAGAGGGAAGGGTCTAGCTATACCACTGCTTGACTGAGATTATGGATATTTGGATGATTGAAGCGATTTGGAGCAAACATGATGGGGCTGCATATATCACATGGCGTTCAGGAAATGGCAAGACATGCTTATTTGGGGGCAGCGGGTTGAAAACCAATTGCATAGTTATACTCTTGGGCATACAAAGAAAGGACTACATTATCTTTGGAAAGGGTAGCATACTTGGTTATAGATGCATTTTGAATCTAGCTAAAATACATTTCTTTCTCCTCTAAGAATTATAGTGTCTTGAATTGACATTTCGCGTACATGAGGTGCAAATAAGCTTCTATGATGGATGGCACGTAAAACAAGGTACTAATAGCTGGGGATAATATAATTCTTTCGTGCTTGGTAAACAAAAAACTCAATTGTAATTCTGTCTAATATCATGACGTAAATAGCAAAAGTTGAGAAGAAAGCCATCTATTGGTTCATGATGCTGCGTGAACTAAGCTGAGACCTTTGGCAGGCGTTGCTGTCCAGTGACTTTGCTCGACCCGCTCGGTTCTGGAGGCGAGTCTCGAGGGCAAAGCATTGTTGGTAGGCGCCTGATGAGCTGACGTAGATTCTTGTACTTGTAGGCTGTGATTGTTAGTGAAGTGACAAAGCGCATGACTTGAACGCGCCCCGAGTACCATTTTCACGCGCCCGTGTTACAAGAACAGAAACGTGATGTGACCTTGTTTTGCTGAATCAGATGAGCTTGACTTTTTTTTAACCCTCCCTGGTTGCTGAGGCATCCGAGACGTACAGAACTGATGGTTTCCACTCTGTCAGTGGAGGTAAGGGGTCGCCGCCCCGTTGGTGATCATGAACGGCACTCAAACGGCTTCTCCCCGCTGCGACTTTGCTCTCTTGGGGATTTATCAGCCTAGAAGCGGTCACTAGAGGGTGCCTAATACCTTGTTAGATTCCAATCTGATAGGTCAGCCAGCGTCGTTAACCCAGATTCCGATTGATATCAGCCAACCAGCGTCAGTAGCGACCTGACCCTCGAGGAAACTGTCGGTCGTGACGTCCCTGCCGTCCCATCCAATACTTGAACCTCAAAGTCCCTTGTCGTTTCTTTTTCCATCCCGTCCCCCTCTCTTGGGCTCTTGATACTCTTCACTTGTCTGTCTCTCGCCTCTTTTTTGTTTGCTTTCTCACCTTTCAACATACGCAATTTCTTTATACAAGACTCGCACAACTACTGTCTCGACTCGACCGCGCCGAGACATACAAACTTTTGGCTGGTTGTTACCCCAACTATACCTGCGCCTAGGACTTCCAAACCTCTTGCTAGATGCGCCCGTGATCGCCTTGACTTTTTAGCACAACCTCACGATTTGCCTCAACTTGGCCCCATTGAAATTTTCTACGACAGTCTTGCATTGCTTCGCAGCGTAGGCTGCTCGGGTCCCTCCAATGGACGGCGACGAGCCCACGCAAGGTACGCCCGCCCATCTTCCCAATGCTCCCTCTTCTTCGAGCTGACCTCCCTCTGGAAGCGACGCAGAATGTTCTGGATCCGCGCCGTGTCGGGAAGCAGAACTCAGGCTTCTCAGACGAAGATATCTCCGACATAATATGCGTCCTCTACCCACACTCTGATTCTGCCCGTGTCGAACTCGAACGTCTGGTCGGCGAAAACTCCCCACACATCATTGGAAAGGACGAAGCGGATGGCGTCGAACCCGACTATGCCTTGGAAGACCAGGCAGCCCGTTTTCTCGCCAATCCAACCGGCACCGGCACCCATGCCATCATCCTACGTCTGTCGTCGCACCTCAAGAACCCGAAGGCCGGCTTTGTCTTTGGTCGAAATCCTGTGCGATGCGACGTCGTTTTTGTCAACGATCCCTTGAAAAGAATCAGTAACATTCATTTCCGGATTTACGTCAACGAATATGGCACTGTCATGGTTGAGGACCAATCGACCAACGGTACCATTGTGGATGATCATCTTTTGACTTCCCACCCTCAAGCCAAGGGAAGAAGTGACCCTCCCATTAGCAAGTGGGTTTTGAGTTCTGGCTCCATCATCAAGATCTATCTCCATAAGGAGGCCCGGGACTTGACTTTCCGAGTCCGTATACCAAGGCGTGATAACGAGTATGACCAAGCATATACCGATAAAGTCGACGATTTCTTCACACGTCATGGGCTACCGCGCCAGAATGAGACCATCACGCCTGGACCAGGCGGCCACGTTGATCTCTTCAAGCAACCTGCCCAGACAAATCTTAGGAGAGAAGAGACCAATGAGATAACGCAGCGTACTCCTCAGACGTTGTCTAAAAGAAGAGACGCGCCACGGGAATGGACGGGGTCCGGAAAATATAACAGAACCGGCTCCATCGGAAAGGGTGCCTTCGCAGTTGTCCACAGGGTCACCTCAAAGTATGACGGATTGCCATATGCTGCTAAAGAGATCGAAAAGCGTCGCTTTATCAAGAACGGTGTCCTTGACCAGAAGGTAGAGAATGAGATGAAGATCATGCAGCGAGTTAAGCATGTGAGTCTTGCGCCTTGTTACCCGCTTCCGTCGCTAACATAACTTAACAGCCCCATATTGTTCGCTACATGGAGCACTTTGAATGGGATGACCGATTGCTAATCATCATTATGGAATTTGTGCCCGGCGGTGATTTGGGAAAACTCATCTCAGACCAAAAGGCTCTGAGGGAGGATGTTGTCCGAACCATGTCAGGGCAGCTCTTGGGTGCCTTGGGATATCTACACTCCAACAACATCACTCATCGCGACGTCAAACCAGACAACATCCTAATAAACTCACTCAATCCAATTGATCTCAAGCTCACCGACTTTGGTTTGTCTAAAATGGTCGACAGCGAACAGACCTTCCTGCGAACGTTTTGTGGCACCTTGCTTTATTGCGCCCCTGAGGTGTATACAGAATATGCCGAGTATGATGACGACGGTGTACGTAGTCGAGGAAAGAAGATGAGACGTCCACCGGGCCAGAGATACAACCACGCCGTTGACATCTGGTCTCTAGGTGGGGTCTTGTTTTATGCTCTGACTGCGTCACCTCCTTATCCTGTCAAGAGTGGCATTAGCTACTCTGAGCTGTTACACAAGATTATGACTACCCGGCTGAATATCGCACCACTGCAGAGGAATGATGTGTCAGAGCAAGCTATTGACTTCCTCTGCAGAATGCTCCAGCGCCGGCCAGAAAACCGAGCAACCGTGGCAGAACTCGAAAGCCACCCATGGTCTTCCGGCGAAGACTCTATCATCAACGCTTCACAATCCTTTGACGAGATTTCGGATGACGACATGTTTGACAACTTTTCCCAGTTGCAACCTAGACACTACGAAGAAGATAGGGTCAGTGACTCTATGGGCGAAGAGTCAGAAAAAGAAACCCCGACGGTACCACTAGAATCGAACCAGCCCAGACTATTCGGAGAAGTTGGTGTCTCAGCGATTGGTAGCTCAGGAGTTATCCCGGAAGATCATCTCAACCTCGAGAACAGTAGCAACCCTAGCGCAGACGAGACTGAAATCCTCCGCAAGGATGAAGACGAAGCATATCAATCGGATGAGTTGGTTACGCCCAGGAACAGGAATCGTCGAACATATCGCCAGAATAACATTTCAATGGCACAGAATCAGTCTGAGGACCAACTTCAGAGTCTGGTTGAGGACGTGGCGTCGCAGAGCCTCGGCGGGAATGAGCCAAGCCTGCAAGGCCCTGGACAATCGCGTTATTCTCTGCAATCGGCAGAATTCAATACTAGTAAACGAAAACCCCCGTCATATGATACAAGCGATGAGTTCGACAACACACCCCAAGGAAAACCTACAATGAAAAGACTTAAGTCGGAAGGTAATATTGAAGATCTAGCAAATGACGTACTTGAGGAGTACAAACTGCTGGTGCAAGTACCATCTGCCGAGAAGCAGGCTTCAGGGCGTCAAATCGACAAGCCTTACAACAAGACGTGTTTCTGGGAGCAAGACAAGACAACCTGGCACTTCGACTATCCGGAGCTCACACATTTGCAACACAAAGCTTTCGAGCGGGGTGCGGCAGCAAGGAATGAAAAATTTGAGCCCGGAAAATCGCCGTTATGGGATCTTGCGATGAAGTATTTCTCTCCCGTCTCCAAAGCCGGGTCACAAATCAACCAAGCTCGACGAAGCTCGCGGACACCTCAGGACACAGCGGCTGATGAGCCCCTGGAATTTCCTCCGACTGCCGCCCCGCTTGAGAACTCTCCGATTCCCGACACTTTGCCTACGCACACGCAGATAATCGTCCCTGTCCAGGAAGATGAGTCCAATAGACGTGCCATTGGCGTGCTTGAGTCTCATCATGATTCGTGTGTCCCTGGGATTAGCATTCCCATCAAAGATACTTTGGTCTCATTCGGCCGTGGCCCGGCAAATACTGTGGTCTTCAGAGACATACAAGAATCTCGAGTGCCGAAGTATGCGTTTAAACTGCTGCTTTGGAAAGAAGATGGCACCTTTGACCCTTCAAAGGATCCTGACAAAGTCCCTCCTCCTTGGCTTCGAGATGCCGGAGATCCGAACGAGTACGGGTTTTACATCTCGACCAAAGCATCCGTTGGTATCAGCATCAATGGTTACCAACTTGCTTCTTCTGATGCCAAAAACCACAGCGGCCCCTCACACCATTGGGCTCGAATTTGGAACGGCGACACAGTGATGATATGGGGCGATAGAAAGAGCACGCAGACAAAACTCGTATTTCAGTGTTTCTGGGGTGCCTCGTCACAGGCGCGTGAGGAGAACCAAGGCCTACAACTCGCATCTCCATCACTCTCCCAGAGGCTTGACGCTGCGTGTCAGAAGGCGGAGAAGCGGATCAAGGAGGTCATCGAGAAGAAGAAGATTAAGGATGCAATCAACGCTGATCTACGGGAACGTACAGAAAACATTGAAAGAGAACAAGAACGAAGTCGCGCTTTCGAGAAGAAGCGAAAAGAGGCCATCGCTTATCTTGACTCTAGACAAACCCCTTTGTCGCGAATGGCTTCGCCGGCAAGCGCACCAGGAACGAGTAACTATCGTGAACCTCTGATGTTTCGCATGAGCTCTGACAACAACCTCTCGATCCAGTGACGAAGCGCAACATACATATACGATTTGCTAGAGGAGCGTGTGTATTTACTTAAGTCTTCGGTCCTTGAACTGTTGCCACGGACACGGAGTTATGATTTCTTTTCTTTTTCCTTGGCATTTCTGGCGGGCATATGGGCTAAGCACGAGAATTGGCTGGTACTATAGGAAACTATGAGGATGACGAACGCTACTTACAGCTAGATTCGTGATTCTTCTCGGCGAAAGGGGCTTATCTGGATGGAGATAGATCCTGCTATCATGGCATCTTGGAGGAGTATATGTGGGAAAATGCAGAACATACTACATAGAAAATGATATATCTTGTAATTGAAGACTTTGCGCATCTCTCCTATCATACGACTGATATACCTTAGCTGTGACGGAAAATGATTGATATTCTACACGTCGAATAAGTTTGTCCGTATCTCACCATGTAAAGACATGTGGAGAGGTCGGTTCATAATACATCAGGCATTAAGTCATTCTATTTCTAATAATACAATAGCAAGTTTTACCAAAAGAGCGCTTGTCATACAATCATAATCCTCCTTCATACAAATCATGATCATTTCTCGTAACCGAGCTTATTTCAACTTCTCATCACCCGGACCCAGCCGTCCAGGGGTCGATGCACATGCATCCAACGTTCATACATTTTGTTCCCAAAAGGTTCATTTCCACAAATCTTCTCATTCAGGATCTTAATCACTAGGCTCAAGTGAAAGTGTGGTGATGCCTTGTGTAAGCATGCTGGTGATTATCAAGTTTTAGACAGCGATGCCGTCTATGAGAGGCTGAATGGGCAGTGTATCATGAAAAGAATTGTTCCGGATAGTTTCATCAAACTCATTGAAATCTTGACCAGAAGATACTTCGTCATCTTCCTCGCCGACTGAAGAAGCGGCCTCTACGATAAGTTTATACTCTGTGAGGCTCGAGCGTTAGTCGATAAGATTGACAGCTTTGGTTTTGGTCAAGACTCACCAATATGGTCAGATGCAGTCTCATGGGAGTCATCAGCAGTGCTCGCCTCCTCAACTGTTGGGATAGGATCAAATGCATTCTTCCAGACAGACGTGTCCGACTGGGCAGGTGAGCATTGCTTACACGCGTGCTCTTTCTTTGGCGAATTATCAGATCTAACAGAAGAAGTGCAGTAGGCAAATTCTGGAAAGCTGTGCTGGCGAGGTGTATAATAAGGGTTGCCGCTGGCTTGACCCTCAGTCTTGTCAAAAGTTGAATCCCTGTCCATGAAACTGCACGAGTCAGGATCCGTGAGTGAGGTAGTAAAAATGTTTGACGAGCACCTAGATTGCTGGGGACATGGAGTTGTCTGGCTGTCAGTGAAACTGCGAGGGCCAAATCGTTCCTAATTGTCTCTGGCAGTCTCGTTAAAGTTGTGACTTGGAGGGTATGAGCCTGCTCGATCGCCTGGGGGAACGGAAGATGACTTGTTCTTTTTCTTCTTAAAGAAGGATGAAAACACGCTTCCTGAAGACATACGGGATGGGAGAGATGCAGTGGACTCCATATACTGATCATGGTAGCTGTAGTCATGAAACTTGGGAGTTGGCGCCTGGAATCCTTCGTCTGTCTCATGGCGTTCATGCAAGGGGCCGTCATCTGCATACTGCTCTACGTAGGAGTACGCAGGACTTCGGAAGGAATCCCAGTCTCCACCGTTATCAAAATCTTTGCTGAAAGCACCCTGAGAGTAGCCCTTCGAAGGTGCTCCGGGCCGAAAGTCGTCTGGTGTACGCAAGTTCTCGCGGTTGGGTACCGAACTATTCCTTGAAGATTGGCCATAGTGAGGATGGAGGTTCTTGTCTGTGACCTTTCTTTCAGGCGAATAGCTGTTGTAATACGATGGCTTCTTGCGTGAGATGAGAGGGGATCCTGGGAGCCTCATTCTGATGGGAGACTCAGGCTCCGAGAACTCAGTACCGCCCTCGTGGGCCAAGGGAGTACGAACATCAATAGACTTCTTGAATCTCACAGTCTTACTACCGGAAGACTTGGAGGAGCTTGGGTCAGACCGTTCAGAGTCAAGAGACTTCTCGCGCGGTCGATGTGGTCCCTTTTCTGTTGCATCTTGGGCTTTTCCGGAGCCGTCCGAAGATGACCGATCACTGGCCATTGCGGACTTGAGAACAAAGTCACGCGGAAGAGTTTTCCATGGCTCGTAAACCTTGTTTGTGAACTTCTGACCAGTCATTTCACCTTCATGGCTATCAATGTGAGTGTCTCCTTTGGAGTGAGCCGTCGAAACCGAGTCTTCAACATATGGTGCCTGGTAATTCCGAGGACGCTTTTCGCTCTCCTTATGAGGAGGAGGAGGATCAGTGTTGGTATCTCCCAATGACTTCCGCTCTGCTCGGCGGTTGGAAGACCCCGTATTTCTCGAGGGACAGTAAGAAGACTCTGGTGAAACGACGGTGGTCTCTGGGGAAACGACAGTGTCTCTGGGCTCTCGTGGTTCAGGAAGCCTTCCGCGGACCTTCCCAATCGTAGGAGCCTGTTTCTTGTACTCAATGGCCTCGTCCTGGTCAAGGGAGGCTTTTGGTTCTCCTTTACTACGATTGCGATGGCGATTGACAGTCAGAGAATCCATGTCGTCTTCCTTTTGAATGGCAGCTCGTCTGGCTATGTGGTCCTTCAGTCTGGGGGCCTGTTACTGCATGTTAGCTGTCATCTGATGTTCACGATATTCTGTCAACATACCAGCCCAATCACAGAGTCGTCTGGCAGACTTCCATTGTAGTGGAACTCCAGGACACAGGCATCGCAATAGTTTGTGAAGATTGGCTCTCCTGGAAAGACTGGGTGCTGGGCATGAAATGTCTTGGACCTCGCGCTTCCACAATTGGAACAGAAGTGGTATTGGCGAACGACACCTCGTTTGTATTCCATCTCTCGGCAGCTCTCGCAGAGATTGATCTTAGTGGATGGTCCTGGGCCAACAGGAAACTTCTTGTGGTAGAGCGCTGAACGCATGTTTCCACACTCTGTGCAAATGTGATGGCGTTCGATGCGCTGAGGACTCACATCTCGTTGGCCAAATTGCTCTCGCTTCCGGCTCTGCTGAAAGTCTTTTTCTTGTGCAGTCTTTTCATCATGGGCTGGTTGAGAGAAGCCGCTGAAAGTGGAGTTTGATACTTGTCTTGCGTGAGGCTTTTTGCTTGCTGTGATAGCCTTATTCAGGGCAAAATTAAGTCTGTCTTGAAGGCGGCGGAGGTCGCGACGCAAGATTCTGCTGTTGGGCTCCTCGGCCAAGTCAGCCATCTTGGCTTCAATATGTTTCTGTAGACGTTGCACTTGGTTTGTCAACGGGCCGGAAACCTTGGCGTCTCCCTGATTGCCAGGCTTTTTGTGGCGGTCACCCCCTTCCCCTGCTGAATTCAAGGTGTTTTTGAATGCCGCTGGAGGCATGGAGACTGTTGGTGCCTGATCAGATGCAGGAGTTCGTGCTGCGACAGGTTGGGGAACAGGCGCAATATACTGAGCTGGATGAGCTTGCATCAAGGTAGATGTACGGTGCGGAACGTAGTTGATCTGGTGATGATAGCACACTGGTTGCTGAGGGAAAGGTTGACACACTGGGACTCTGAGAGGCTGGCTCAAAGAAGGAATAGGAAATGGTGAAGATTGTACAATATTACAATGTTGCTTCGACAAAGGAATAGGAAATTGAGGGGGAAATGTCGCAGAAGGCCGTACATGAGAAACAGGCTGTTGCTGACTATTCATGATCTCGACGGTCGATCTTCGAGAACTCGAGCGAGAACCCTGTCGACGAGACGATTTCCGAGGACTTGAGCGAGGTGATGACTTGGCGAGCTGTCGACGGTGGTGTTTCTTTCTGTTGGGGGATCTTTTGGAAGGATGAGGAGACGAATGAGGAAGTGGACGGGACGTAGAGACTCTTTCGGGTGTATCATAGCCACGTTGTTGACGCCCTCGATCATCCTCAGAAGACGAAGAAAACGCACCCTCGGAGCCGTCTTCACTGCCATCGCCACATTCGGAATCAGGTTCAGATTCAGATACGTAGTCGAGTGCTACACGGCGAGCGCTGTTGTTCCCAGGTCCATTAACATGCAGAAATGGGAGGCCGAAGGCAGCACTCAATAGGTCGACATCATAGCCAGACCGATGGCGGCGGCGGCGAATAGCTTTGTTAAAGATATCCATTACGCTGCATCCAGGAGAAGTCTCCTGAGAGAGAGAAAGGCAGTGTCCTTGATATTCGTATACAGAAGGCGATTCGGTGGTGGCATAGAGAGTGTTTGTGGGAGGGTAGATGGGAAGGAGAGTGGACGGTTATGGTAGAAGAAGCAAGAGAGGTAAGAAGAAGAGGAAGAAAATGGTTTCCTTGAGGTCCTCGAATAATAAACACAGAAAATTCTTCGTTTGCTCGAGTTTTCCTATCTCCTTTGAAATTGTGGGCGCCTCTGGAAACGTTGAATAGAGGTAGTTGTTGTGACGGCCGTCGGCAGCTGGCAAGAACTGTCACTTGTTTCTACAAGTAGCAGGTCAGAGACCATCAAAATAGGACTGACAGTGCCCAGAGCTCGCAGATCCTAGACTGAGTCTTTGGTTATAGCAACCAAAAGTCTTATTTCTAAAGGGAGATAGTGAAAGAAAAGATCAGCTTGATGCTCCTGTCTGATATTTGACCGACGAAGGAACTTACTGGCTCCCGTCACAAAGGGCTCTTCCGATGATTTTGATCTAGAAGACTATGCTGACACTCGTGATTTCTGCTCAAGGCCTACAAGGCACAAGGGATGTTGCTCCTGTACGGTTATCTTCGAGGCAGTTCCTAAAATGTGAAGACAGCAGCGTAAGCACCAGAGAAATAACAGATATCTGTCAAGGAGAAGAGGAAGATGACAATGAGTATGAAGAAGGGAGAAAATAAGAAGAAGGAGAAGACATCCCCCTCTCTTGTATGCGACTTTCTGTTCGGGCATGCCGATAAGGTCACTAACTTCGTTCCCAACATTAGCAATCAATCTTGTCGTTGTATTCAGGCGTTTTCAAGCTGGCAAACGACAGTGCCCTTATTTCCCCTCTTCTCTTTCCTTAGCTTTATCAAGCAAACATGCCAAAGTCTCTCATGCCACTCTTCGTTGCCGCTGATAGACCATTGACATGACATATGGCAGCAAACACACTGAACATCCACGAGTTGCTTCAACGCTACTTAAATGAGACAGAGAAATCTCTTTTCCAACCAAATCTTACACTGATATACATATTTAATTCAATTTTGTCTAAATGCGAGCTAAACCGGGAACCTTTATCCTTTCTTCCTAGGCTCCAGCACCAAAAGCTCGTTCTCCATCTAATCCACACGGAGAACACGGGCACCTCGCTTTTGAACCGCCTTCTTCTTCTTCTGCCCACGGCTAAAGGCACCCGCTTCAAAATGATCACGGCCAACGTTGTCAAGATCCTTGACCTTGTAAATACGGATGAGCCAATTCTCACTGGTGAAGGCTTCCTCCAATACATCGAGTGTGGGGCTTGTATCGGGCATTTTAACACCCCGGACTCGATCAACGATCTTTCCAGGGGAGTTCGTCTTGTTGAAGTTGTGGTAAGACATCTTGTACCTGAAAGCAGCCTGTTAGCGTGGTGACCAATCGCTGTGCAGAAGTTTACTTACATCAAGCTGTTCTTCATGGTCTCGGTAGCACCGGCATCAACTCTGTATTCGCCGCGTTCAGTGAAGAAGTTGCGCTCTTTAACCTCATCGGGCCAGATGCCCTCCGCAATGCGAACCATCCAGAGGAACTTGTTGATATCATCTCCGGAGTAGCCAAGAACGCCACCAAAGACGACGAGGACATAGTCAACCTCGTGCTGGCGCATGATGGGATAGCTGACCTCTTCACGAGAACTCATGGCCTTGCCAACAGTAGCGATGTGAGTGTTGTTCCAGGTGTTGTTGTCAACAAGCGTTGGTCGGTCAGCCATACCGCCAATCTGATAACCATAGTCCCACCATGACATGATCTTGGCGTCTTTGCCGGTGTTCTGTCGGAGCCACTGATAGGCCTCCCGATAGTCATCAATGATGACCGGGCTGCCATCCATGCGTCGGCTGGACAGGACAACAGAGGGTGCTGAGTAGGCGTTGGAGGTGACCCATGTGCAGTGAGTAACAAACATGACCAGGTAGATGACCATGCCGGCAACAACCGTAATCTTGGACAAGGTAGTGTAAATACCGACGTCGGGCTTTGCGGTCGCTCGGAGGGCACCCTTGGCCTTCTTGGATCCATCAACAGCCTCTCCTTGTGCAGCCTGGGTGGGCTCAGGCTGATTGACCCGCAGATAGGTGTCGAGGAGCTGCGAGGCAGCCATGGCAGCGGCAACACACACAACAGGTGTCAGTGTGAGCATCAGACGGACCATAACACCAGCAAAGTAGCTTGCAAACAGAGCATAGACAACAATGAATACATGCTCATCCGCGAGGTTCTGGAAACACATATAAACACCGGCAGGGAAGAGCCAGATGAGGAAGTTAAGATCAAAGAAAAATGAGGGCCATGCGGTAGGCTGATGCTCAGAGACTGAAGCAATGATGGGAATGTGAATCTTGGCATAGCCGGTGTCGAATAATGAATAGAATCGACCGCCCCAGGGCGCGATGTATCCAAATGAGGTCAAAAGAATGAGGCCAGCGAGACCGACGAAGAAAGTCGCGACACCAGCAGCAACTACGATGGTTGTGATTTGTCGTCCAGGGATAACAGACTTGACGTAAACAATGAATGCAATCACCTGAAGGAGGCCAAAAACACCTACACGATAATGTTAGTATCATGGGTCACATTGAATGTTTGTGTATACACACCAAGCGCGGGCATGTGCTCATTGGTCTTGACACAAAGGAAGCCGACGAAAGGCACCTGGAAACTAGCCATGGTACCAATAGCGTACCACGTCGTGTAGCTGACATAGAGGCGATCGCTGTATCGACCCATGCAGATGAGAACGAAGGCATGGACGGGCAGTAGACATGTAATGAAAGCATATCCACCCCACGACGCAACCATGTAGGCGTACGATAGCGCGCAAAGGGCACCCCACAGCATCGAGCCCAGCTTCAAAGCCTTGACCCAGAGGTAGAATGTGAGAACAAGAAGGAAAATAGCGATGGCCTCGTTATCGTAGCTACCGGCCACGGATCGAGAGATGTAACCCGGTGCAATGCCCATGAATACTGCGGCAAGAAGACCAGCGGATGAAGATGTAGTCATCTCATTGGTAAGTAGGTAGGCAGCATAGGCTGTCAGTCCAGAGAAGGCTGGGGCGAGAAGGACACAAATGTTTCGAATATCGACGGGAACCGTAAGGGCGCGGAGAGCGTGGTATATGACGCCGCTTGTCACCATCAGACCAGGATAGAGGGTGCCTCCGGTAACCCGCCCAAGAGGATGCCATGTCCTGTCATCGAACCAATCCCAAAACTTGTAAAATCCATTGGCGACGAGGTATTTTGTCGCGCGGAAGTTGAACCACGGATCGACTGTCTTAAAGGTTAGCTCGCCATGATGGAGCAATCTGTTAGTATGAGCAAGACTGACATTCGTGAATAATACTTTCGAAGCCTACGCCGGACGAGTTAGCAAAAGATGCATTCCTAATAGAAGATGACCCTCTGTACTCTGCAGACAGAAAAGCCAGAGCAAGAATTGAGGGCATTCACCCATCATAGGAAGAAAGCACTTACGTATCACAGAAAAAAGGCGACTGGACACAGCTGCGCCAGCGATCAAGAGAAGAATGATGACTCTTAGTAGAGTCCTAGTGTTTTGTCCGTTCACTCCGGCGAGGACGTCTTCGGTTTTTGCCGTCTTTACCGCCATGATGGGTTGCGATTGTCGACGATGTTTGACCCTGGAGTTGATGCAACTTGCAGAAGCCGAAACCCAAGATGATATTCAACTCCGCCAGAAGGACAGCTTGGAGCTTTACTACTGAGACGGGGGAGCTACAGGAGGTAAATGTGGGACCCACCCCGAGGTACGTATCCTTTACGCGGCCGTGCATCCACTCAAAACTTAGCTCATTCTTCAGGTTGTGGCCGTGAGGTGCTGAGCCACAGTTTATCCGGCGAAGCTCTGGCGTATCAAGAAGACGATGATGATCAGGTCATTCTACGTCAATTTCGATGAATTGACCAGGATAGCATGCAATATAGGTGAACGGCTTGCCAAATCTCATCTACATGTCGCTTCACTGATCACAGAAACTGCCTCAAGCATCAGAATCGCTTATCGTCGTCAACTTGCTTTTTGCTGTAAAACTAAACATACATCCATCCGTACCTGATACACATCATCATATAAGCCCGCAGAGATAAACTTACTAGCTTTCCCGCTCAAAGTCTCCCATTACATGCCCAAGTGTTACAAGCCCTAGCCAAAACCATTGACGTTTTTTTTTGTCGTCTAAAGTAGATATATTGTACACCTGTACACAGAGTTAAACAGGGACCTAAGGAAACATCTATGCAGGGCCGCCATGTATATCCTCAATCATACACCGAGTCTGGTTCGAGGCTCGGATTATGCCTCGGCAGGACCTGTTTCCCTACGGTTGGTCAACCTTTTCGCCGAAACCTCCCATTGTTTCCATCCTCTCCCTTCTCATATCTTGCGTTGCGTTTCCCCGCGCCGGTATTACATATTTAAGGGCTCTCCTTCTGCACCTTCAACAGCAGCTTCTCGAGATCAAACTTGGGGTCTGAGGGGTCGGTGATAACTGTATGCATGATTAGTTTGAGGTCTCGACAGGTTGTGTGTCTCGCATGTGCAATATGCCGCGGCCAATTGCTAGGAGTGCTTTTAGAGCGAAACTGGGTCTGACGTACCAGAGTCGCCAGATGTTGGGTTGTTCTTCTTAGCAAACTCGGCCTTGGCTTGCTGGATAAGCTTCTCCTTCTTCTCGTACTCGTGCTGCGCATGCTCGGCCTTTTGCGAGGCAGTAATCGCTCGCTGGTGGGTGAAACCGTAAAAGATACCCAGGCCAAGGGCGGACCACCGCAAAACCTATAAATGACTCAATTAGTCCTCGGGTCCATAAACTATCCAATTCTGCCGCTCGAATGATCGCATTCCCTGACGTAGTCGAATGCTCTGGGTTGGGACACGGTCGAGCGGCCGAATCGGGGAGGATAACACGCACGTTCACTCCGGTCGAAGCCATTGGAAATTAGATTCGCAAAAAAGGGCGAACGGGACGAAGAGCGAAAGGATCGGTATTGACGATAGTCGGCGGTCGACAATGGCTTGTCAATGGACCCAGTCGGAGTGGCTCGAGGGGATTAGATGCGTCGGCTTGAGGTGAAGAATTGAAAAGTCGTCGGGAAAAGTCGCAGTTTTTCCATTCGCTGCCAAAGAGAGCCAACCGCTGGCGGCTGGGAGCTCGGACAAGCTGGAGCCAGTAGCCAGTGAGCCGGCCAATGTGATCACGTGCTCGACCTCATCTCCCAGATCAATTCACTGTGGAGTTGAGCAGCGATACGTACCGCCTTCAATTCCACTTAGCATTCTTCAGATTTCAGGCTTGTGCAGGGGGTTTATGGGGGTTGCAAGTGCCTGAGTCGCTCGCGCATGGATGGATTCAATTGGACCCCATCACAAGCTCATACCTTGCAGCATTTCATAACTTGATCACTACAAACAAACAACGAAGAAACTTACATACAGCCACCACATTTTGTCGCGAAGGACGACTTTTCATTTCTTGCGGTTTTCTCGTTGTTGGTTTGCTTTGCGAGACTTTATTTATCATCATTCATCGTGTTGTCGATTCATACCCTCCCAAACCCAGTATCATAGCTCTCAACATATTGTTCAGTCTCGCAATGCGACTGTGGAACGTCCACAATGCAACAACGTCGAGATGAAATCCTAGCGAAAAAGGCGAAGCTTGCTGAGCTCAAGCGCCAGAGAGAGCTTCGGGCAAGCCAAGCAACAGCAAGTCGCTCCAACATAGGAACCTCTAGCGACGTTGGTCCCCTGATACCCTACCGCCTTTAAGCCCATCGTTGACGTTTCTCAACCATAGTTGATATCGCCAACTCCTGGAAGAGCAGATAACCGCCGCGAGATCGAAACTCTGATAAACAGTCTCGTCGGTGATAGTAGGCCCGGCTCGACTGTCACGGGAGGACCTGGCTCTCCCGCTCCTCGTGGTAGCCGTCCAAACAGTGTCCTCAGCGCCGGCGAATTCAGCAACGAACCCTCCGAAGTCACGACCACTAGTCACGTTCAAGTTCCCGCGCAACCGCCACCTAGTCTTAGCACTGCTCCCCTCCTGACCGTTTTCGAATGCCCGCCGTCTCCGGTAAAGGAGGTCTTCTCATACAGCAAAGGTGTCCAGACAACAGAAGAATGGACAACACCTACCAGAACCAGGGCTCAGTCTCTCATATCTGAAGCCGAAGATGTTCCCGCCGTAACTTCAACGCCCAGCAAGAGGCTGAGCAGGAGAGAGCGAGATCGAGAAGAGGAACTCCGACAAAAGATTAGAGAAGAGGTGGAGGAAGAATTGAGGGCGACAAAGGAGTTTCTGAGCGACGGTGTGCTTCCTTCCGGCTCGGGTTTGAACTATCCTTCCAGGAATCTTACCGCTGAAGAGCTGGACGCTGTCGCCCACTCAGATGAATTCGTTGACTTCCTGGATAAGTCGACAAAGGTGATCGAGAGAGCTCTCGACCAAGAGACATATGACATTCTCACAGACTACGCTTTACAAGGCCAGGATAACGATGATGAAGATGAAGATAGTGGTAATACAGGTGGTAAGGGGCGACACAGGATAAAAGAAGTTGTCCAGTTCTTCGACGAGCGGTGGTCTAAGAAGCGCATGATCAGCGGGATTGATTTCTCGCCAAAGTTCAGCGAGCTTGTCCTCGCGTCATACACCAAAAATCCGACAGCTCCCCATGAACCTGACGGGCTGGTTCAGGTCTGGAACATGCACATGCAAGATCGCCCTGAATACGTTTTCACCGCGCAGTCAGATGTCTTGACTGCTAAGTTTTCTCCTTACCACAATAACTTGATTATCGGTGGTTCATATAGCGGTCAGGTGTTGCTGTGGGACACGAGAGCAAAGGCGGCTCCGGTTCAAAAGACTCCCCTTACGGGCTATGGTCATGCCCACCCTATCTACTCTGTTGATATTGTTGGTACCCAGAACGCCAACAACATTATTTCTTGCTCCACTGATGGTGTGGTCTGTGGCTGGACAATGGACGTCTTCGCTCAACCTCAAGAACTTCTTGAACTCAAGAACCCTAGTCAGGCCAAGGTGGCTGTCGAAGACGTGAGCCCAACGTGCCTTTCTTTCCCAGCTACAGATCCTACATTCTTCCTCGTTGGCAGTGAGGAGGGCACCATCTTCCCTTGCCACCGATATGACCGTGCCGGTGCCAAGGCTGGTGTTGATAAGAAGATCAGCTACAAGGGACATACCGCCCCTGTCATGTCTGTGGATTTCCATCCTGCTAGAGGGCCGGTGGACTTGGGCGATCTGGTCATATCGTCGTCGCTCGATTGGAGTGTTAAGCTTTGGAAGGTTCGAGCACCTGCGGCGACATCTACGATCGGCTCTGGCGATGGCACCATCTCGCCCCTAATTGACTTTGTGCGTGAGGATGTCGTCTACGACGCTAAGTGGTCGCCCGTCAAACCCAACATTTTTGCATTGGTCGATGGTGCTGGATGGCTGGAGCTTTGGGACATTGCAGTCGAGACGGAAGAGCCTGTGTCCAAGATTTCGCCCAGCTCTCGAAAGGATGGCAGAACTATGCTTTCGAAGAGTCTGAACAAGGTTGCATGGGAGCCCAATGATGGAAAGCGTCTTGCGACTGGCGGCATCGATGGCTCTCTCACAGTATTCGAGGTTGCCAGTGGTCTTGGTGGCAAGGATGGCCCAAAGAACGAGGACTGGGCGAATGTGAAGAAGCTTGTGAACCGACTGGAGGCAGTTGGTTCAAATGGTGCATTGATAGTTTAGTGATCTCCATTGGATGGAGTATTGGCAGCATAGTGGCGTATGTTCTTGTGTTGCGAGGTAGTTAAGAGATGAATTTACTGATATACCCAAGGCTTTTTTCGGTTTCTGTCTTTCTTTTCGCCAATACCTCACTTTAATCTATTGATCTCTACGCATCACACTCCTGAGTTTCAGGCCCTTGCTGTTATCTTTAAGAAACCGAACCCAGGAGGATACAGTGTCACGTGTTGTCTCCACATCAACAATATCTTCATTTTATTGTGGAGCAAAAGCTCAACCTCAGCTTTCAACAATCTCAGCTTTCGAGTTGAGACTCTGCGCAACGATGAGCAGTCATCTGAAGACTTTCTCTTCCTTCTAGTAGCCAATCACTACAACCAGGTGCTATGAAAGACGATAGATACAGTATGGTAAGTCACAGTCCTTTTGAAACACCCATTCAATCTTTCATGATGGCATTCATTTTTATGAATTCTGCAATTCCGAATGCCCTTTTGGTTTTGGGCAACACGTGGACACTTCACAGCTGAACAGCAACCTTGTTACTCATTGTTTCTCATTTCTATCTTGAAACCGTGTTCTAACTCAACCACAGACTTTGTCTCACAGTTAGGCCTCCATTGGCACGCCTTCAGGATACCGCCCGCCAGAAACCTCAAATACGTAGGCTATATCCTCGAGAGTCTCCATCTCTTCCTCCGAAAGCGGGAAGTACTGGGCATTCTCCTCGACTCGAGCTGTTGTGGTCGCGCCAGGGGTGGGAATGATGGTAGGCATTCCCTCGCGGCCGTTTAGTCCTCTAACCCAGTTGATGGCAAGCTGTGCAGGTGTGATTCCCTTCCTTTCTGCTACTGCCTTGACTTGATCAACGAGCTTGAGGTTGTGCTGGAAGGATTCTGGCTGGAAACGCGGGAATCCGCTGGCAATGCCCTGGCCCTGGAATTGAGAGCTGTCGGCAAAGCGGCCCGTCAACATCTGTAGTGACTGTTAGATCTATGTAGTCTGGAGTTGAATAGGCGAACTTACGCCACGTCCAATAGGCGCGTAGGCCATGATAGGAATATTGTGCTTAGCACACGCAGCAGCAACGCCATTCTTGAGGATGTCGGGGCTGAACAGACTGCATTCGACCTCGACGAGAGCGACCTTGACATGCTTCACGGCTTCTTCGATAGTCTCGGCACTGCATTCTGACAGGGCAATGCCACCGACCTTGCCGCTATCAACATATTCCTTCTGAATGACGTTGAGTGTTTCTTCAAAGGGAACGTTGTGGTCTCGTCTTGAGGGTGCGAAGATATCAAGCTTCTTGACACCGCCCAGTTGATTGAGCACATTGTCAATAGACCTGCGCACATTCTCGGGAGACCCATCAAGTTGAAACGTATCAGGGTTGTAAGTGCCCTTCATGGCGATGGTGATCTTTTCAGCATCTTCTGGAAATTTTGTGAAGTATGCCTTGATGAGAGTCATGCTGTTATACTCTGGAGGTCCGTAGAACTCAGCGCCGCTCCAGAGATTGCAGCCATTGGCGAAGGCTGTGTGCATAGCTTCAAGAGCCTGATCTAAAGGTGTTGGTTTGGGACGCCAAGTGAAGCCTTCAAGTTATCAGTCTGGTTGTGTTAAGTAAGTGGAACGACTAAACATACCCATAAGGCCGTAGCCAAGAGCGCCGACATGGTTTCCCAGAATTTCAGGCATATTGGTGTTTATGGATATGTGTTTTAATATTTAATCCAAGCTATGAACTATGTGGGTTGGACTTGGTGATATCGAGTTGAGAGAGGGGCTGTGAGACTCAGCAATCAATGAGGAAAGATGTGAAGATACTTATACATCAGAAGGATTGAATGATTGCATTTAATTTCAAGCTCTATGCAACTATCTCGGTTGATTATTCACCCTCTATCTGACCCATAATGGTGTTGTTCGCCACACCCGTTCATCGGGATTGCAGCTTCAAAATGCTACATAAATCCGAAAATGGATCTGACTAAACTTAAGTCCAGCTCGTATCCCGTAACGCGACGCCACGCGAGAGAGCCCGAAGCCAACAGACCGGAGCTTGCGCTTTACGGAATTGTGTGCCGCCGAGTAGACCCTTATGGAGATAGGATATTGGATAGTGCTGTCAATCCGATTTGATGCGAAGCAGGTCAGGTAGGTAGTTATCTGGAGGAACCAAGTATACGCAGCAAGGTATCTCCTAGTGCTGATGCCATCGATATGGTGGTCATCATTCCCGTTAATCAAGGTCAATCAATATTCCCTCTTCTCCTCCTCTCTTCGGCTCAGGTTTAACCACTTCCTCCCCGACGTCTTCTTCATCTTCATACTCATCCTCAGCTTCGGATCCCTCTTCAAGGTTTCTGAAGTGCACATCTCGACGCTGAGCAAGAATTCGGGCTCGCTGCTTTCTTCTGAGGAGATTCCCAATCTTCCTCGCAGTTCGTCGACCATTCGGTGCATCCGCTGCACGAAGGGCTTGGGGGGGCATAGGCATCAATCCCCGCGCTTGAAGCCACCAATCAGGGAATCCAGTCAGACCAACTTCTCCCAGGCCTTCTGCAGTGACGGGCATTATATGTTCATAGTGACAGTCTCGGCCCCATTTGCAGACGCCGTGGTGACACCAGTGTCGACAGAGTGAGGGCAATTGAGATGATGGTGCCGTAGTGTTGGTTGGAATTTGTGGTGTCTCTTTGTGGGAAGTAGGACTGAGATGGGCTGGCTGCTGCTGGTTGGCAGGATTGTGGCGGCTAGATGAGAGGCCTTGTGCTGGCTTTAGCTTGGACTTGGGAGTATTAAGCTGAGTTGTAGTTGTAGTTGGCTTCGGTTTCTCATAGTAGTTGTGAGATGATGATGCACCCTCTGCGCAAGGACCAGGCCGGAATCCAGGGGCCCGCTCCTCTGAAGTGTCCGATTCATCACTAGTTGAAGCTCCATCCCCAGTAATGGGAGCGAATCGAAGCTTGTAAGTATCCAGCTCAGCATGAATAACCCCCAAATTCCCCATGTCTCTAGTCTCATCTGGGGATAAACTTCGAGGGGCGCCGATGACTTCGATCCACTCTGGCAGAAGGTCTGCCGGGATAAGAGGGACAGCAGTTGCAGGCTGAGAAAGAACTTGGCCGTTGGGTGTGATTTGCTCTGCCCCTGGTCTGACCAGAAAGAACTGAGGTTTGATTCCCATGGTGGCTGGTGAGTGTTGTGATGTCAAGGAACAGGAGGGAAGTGTAGAAGCAAGTTGTGGAATGTGAAATGTGAAATGTGAGAAGCAAGATTTTGAAGACCAGGTCCTGAGGAGCTCTCTTTATGTAATTTACGCGTACAGTTTGTCAGCTGCCTGTTGTCTCATGGACCTCCGTTTGCTGTGACACAGGTGAGGACAAAGACTCAGATGCAAACTAAGAAGGCTTTGTCACACCCAGGGGAGGCAACGAAACTTTGGACCTATATCCTAAGTGACAAAAAGACCTAGATAAGTTTAGTATAACTTAGTGATCCTTTATACTAGTCATTTTTGACACCATGATTTGATATCAGAGGTTTTCTTGCCCCTTGAAGCACACTTATCGAGCCTCCACACGAATCTTGACATCCACACCATCTACGCAGTAACCCAGTTGTCTAGGTCCATCTTTGAGTTCCACTTCTCTTTTGACCCATCGTCCAGGTTTTCCTGCGGTATCCTCCTCAGCAGCATGTGTGTCAATCCCTTTGCGTTCCCTCTCCTCTTCGGCATCCTCCTCGTCGCTGCTATCGCCCTCTTGATCGTCAAAGCCAGCTACAGGATCCCATTCTCCTGTTTCCCAGATAAGCCCCAGTTTGAGGGGCGACAAGCCAAACAGTTTTCCAGCAATGCCTTTGACGGCATAGATATCGTACGATTTGGGGATCTTTTTCACTCTTTCCTCGCCATCTTGAAGATGAAAACCAACAGTAACTAGACGTGCCTCCAGGAAAGCAGGGTTTACCTCCAACCTACGAACAATATTTGGCTCGCCGTAGATTTTGCAAAGGTCGGCATAGCGAGGGTGATTTGCCAGGACTTCTTGTTCGGCGTCCTCTGGTGCAGCCGCGAGCTGTTTTGCAATCCGCGAAAGATAGAACATCTCGGCGTTACTTCTATCGGCCGGTGTGATCTGGCTGAAATTGAGGGACTTCAGTGAGCCGAGACGGGCGACGGTAAACATGTGCGACTCCTCCGAAGAGGATGCTTTAGCATCAGCGTCTGCAGCATCATAGAAGGGGTTGTGGCCAATTCGTAAACCAACTAGACCAGGGAAATGTTTGGGAAGCTGGTTCACAAATTCCCAGGATTGAATGTTGTTATAGGAGATGTCGAGGTATTGGACAGTATCTGAGAATATCGGCCCTTCTATACCTTCAGGGGCAATTGTCGAAATGTTGTTCCCCTTGAGGTGAATGTTGCGCAGTGATCTGAGTGTTGCAAGGGTGCTGATGTCCACAAACGTAGTGAATTCGTTGATTTCGAGGTTGATTGATGTCAAAGTGGACGAAAGATTGCCATAGTCTAATGCAGGGAGAGACTGAAATTGGTTTGATCCAGCATCAAGAGCAGCCAAAGATGGAGACTTTGTTGCAATGTGGCAGACTTCCTCCCAGCTCAGCAAGGTTTCCTCGAGCGACAGCTCTTTGACGTTGTTTACAGCATCGTTTGCTTGATCGCCTAAAACATTTTGAAATCGATTCCCACTATAACTAGGTCAGCGACTTGTTTGCCTATGGCCAGAGGGACATACTTGAGGGTCAGGTGCTGGAGATTTGGTAGCTCACGACAAATTTCAAACACGGGGTCAAGCCGCTCAAACAAATTGCGACTGAGATCCAACTGCGTAATCTTGGGACACGTCTTTGCAATGATACCCTCGCTCTCATCGTCTGCTCTCGCACTGGAAACCTGGAGATCCTCGAGAATTACCACAGTGAGCTCACCGATATTGGCTTGCTTACGGCGAATCTTCTCAAACCCCACCTCCTCAGCACGCTTCCCGAAAAACACAATCTCTTCTGCAGCCCTTCTACCATCTGGAAGCGTGTATTCAGAGGCATATTTGTGGTTGACGGCTGCTAGAAAGTGACGCGGCGCGTCAGCTGGCCGTGAAGGGCGCACAAATGAGGCAGCAGTGGGGAATTTAGATTTGCCTTGAGAGAGTCAGTCAGTTATCAATTACACACAGGCAGATAGACACATGTAGCAGATGATGTGTCTGGTCTGGTCTTACAGGTAAAGTAACGAATGCCTTTGTGACATCCGTCGTGTTTACCACGGGCTGAGTCGTCCCATTCTACGCCGAGCCATGTGCCTGTTGTGCCTGAGACTTCGCCAACGAATCTCACCGTGCAGAGAGCGCCATCGTATGAGATGCGTTGGCCAACGTGGTGCGTCGTTGTCATTATTTTTCGTTTCAGGGGGTTTCTCGGTATATCACAAAGATAGGCTTCCGTTGTTCATATTGAGGAGGTTGAAGATGGGAACTACTAGTATGAGAGGATCCTTAAGGCAGCAGAATTTTGAGGGTAGCGATACAATAGCTGCAGCCTCAAACAGCACCAAAATACTAAAATTGAGTAAAGATTTTCAAGTATGATCAAAACATCATTAGACTTGTTGCTAAGAGGATTTTATGTTATCGGGTAAGTTAAATTAATTGTAGATATTCGATGCATTACTGATGATTCTCTGCCTCCACGTGAGCTTGAATTATAACTGAGTGAATCAAGCGCATGATGCTCGTTCTAACTTATAACACACTAGCCGTACAGTTTCAAATGATTAAGAGGATATGTATGTGATAATCGCTCCTCATAAAAGTGTTCTATTTAATCGTGTGATTGTCACAAGCTACCTAGGTAAGTACCTAGGTAGTATTCATGACATTTTGCATATAGGATATCTCGCCACAGGGTAACTTCATCAACACCTTACCCGTCCATTTTTTAATGTCTCCTCATCTCACCGCTAGCACCAACCCTCATCGTGAACCAATAGTTTACAATGTCGTCTTCTTCCATGGAATGCCAGCATCGCTGTGCCCAAATGTTCTCAATGGCAATGTTTCTACAAGATATATCTACTCGCACCAATCTTCTCGACCCGCAACGTCCAGCTAAACAACCTCAACCGTCTCGGAAAGTCTCGCCTTCTACACCAAGCCAACCATCTGATCCCTCGATACAACAAATGAGCCAGCTACCAGACAGAACCATCTGAGAAGAGCCAACGAACCGCATGCAATCGGGGTCTATAGGCATTTCACAAAAACTGGTGAGATTACAACTCAGCAACATAACATTGCCAGCCAATTTGTTTATCACGAATATCACGCATTTGTTCAATAGAGTCCATAGGCTAATTGTTTACTCAAGGAAATCAATTGGTAACAAGCTAGTTACAGTTTCAGACTAAATCCAGCCTTTGCTGGTCATGCAGGTGTAGAGAGTGTCGGTCATCAAATTCAATGCCCAATCATTTTCATGTGGCATTCTGGTATCGTTTCGCTCAAAATCAATTCGCTCGGCCAATTCTTCCCTTGGCCTGGTCACATTCCTCTAAAAATCGGTAGATACCTTCAAGGCCTTCGTAGTCTTCCGATGGTCCAGCTATTGAAGAGCTGTCCGGAGGCGACATCGTCTCGTATCCCTCGGTCTCAGCCAACCACGGACTATTTATTATTTCGTCCAGATATGACTGCTGAACAAAGTATTCCTCGTCCAGAGTCGAGATTTCGTCAGTTTCGTATCCCTCGAGGGATCGGACTGATACGCTGGGGGTAAAGGCGGACTTCATGCCATCGGGAGCGAATGGGAATCGGAGGGCAACCGGAACACCGACTGTATTGTCAAAGTCGGCATCTTGGCCCACCACACCGCGCTGAATACCAATGTCATCGCAAAGTCGCTCAATGGTCTCAGCGTCAACGCCTGGAAAGCGGACTCGAAGAACGTTATGCTTCTCTAACAAGACTGGGAGGTCACCCAACACTGCAAGCCTGCGGAGGTCGGCATTGATGGCTGTGAGGTCTTGCAATGCTCGTCCAAAGTCAGAGGACAAAACATCGAGGAAACCCTCGGTGTTGAGGGAAGCACCACCAGCAGCGGCCTCAGCCTTGAAACCAGAGGTCTCGGAGGCAAAGGGAATAGCCGCGGCGAGAGGGCTCAGAGCTGTGACGGTAGGGCTGAGCTGGAAGTCGATGAAAGAGCCGGGAGTGGAGTGGGAGAAGGCGGAGAGCTTGTGCATCGCCTGGTCTTCGACTGGTGACACAGCACGATACTGTCGCTCGCCTCGAGGCCCAAGACCATCGTAACGGAGCTTTTGGCCAGAGAGGAAGAACGCTCTCATGGCTTGGGAGACATTCTGCACAACCTGGGCCGGAGCTGCCGGAGTATGCGAGAAGTACCGAGCACTACCTCCGAGGCTGTATCCGCCAGCACTGCGAGGAAAAGCACCACCGGTCAGATTCGGTCGAAGAGCATTGGCAAAAGGAGCTCGGCCGGAGAACTGCGCAACACGTCGAGATGTGTTCGAAGTCGGGATCTTGGATCGATCAAACCGGGCAGCCTTGGGCTCGGAGCTAACGAATCTCCTAATGACTCGGTTGACATTCTGAGCTGCGGAGCTCGAGAACCATCTAGTATGGCGCTTCTGCTGTCGAAGCACAGCAACGGGGTGAATTGGTTGACGAGCAACTCTGGCGGTTCTGAGTGTAAGTTGGGATTGCAGGGGCCGCGTCATGAAGACGAGCTTGGTCCGAACCACATTTGTGGTTTTGGCCGCAGCGACTTTGAGAAGCCGTCGGGCCATCGGACCCAACAGCGCCTCTAAAGACGCCATAGTGAAGTTTTGTGTCGTTTCCAATCCAACGGTGTTGGAAAGTGAGGTGCGTAAGCTGAAGTACAACGCATTGAGCTCGGGCGGTATGAGAAGGTCCTTTATGGCGGTGATAATTCGCCACAGCATGCGCCACACGGAAGGCACCGGTTGGCGGATTGCGGGGTTCATCTAGCACGAAACAAGGTTAGTGCGAATGTACAGTCAGCAATTGCGACCTCCACCAACAATAAATTTTCTTGTCTTCGTTTTTCCTTCGCTCAAACATCTCCCTCTTGATTCCTCAAGGTCTGGCTCGCGCACACGATGCAAAGGTGTTGTCAATTTTGCGCGACCATGACCTTGGATTTCTTCTAGGTAAGAATTCTTCCCTCTCCCTGCTTTATTTTCTGCTTCACATGATGAATATCATACACGAACAATCCAAATCAGACCAGCACAATGGTGATTTAGCAATCTCTAGAATTACACTGAGAAAGCTTTGGACCTCAGAACCGGCAGGATGTTTTTGTCGCAAACCTCTTACTGACCAGTCACTAGTTTTGTTTGTTCACCTGTTGTTAGCCATACAATGGACGCGTCTCCCGGTTGAGCGCGTCATCTCTTGCTATAAACTGAAAAGGTTGGTACATATTTTCCTTTGTTTCTTCAAACCCTCTCCGAGTGATGATCAAAACGACACCTTAGGGATTCCTCATTCTTAATATACTATGTGGATACTGTTGTTATAAGTTTCAGCCTTGTCTGACAGGAGATCACAACGCCTCTTTGCTTGCACCGTTCTCTACTGATGCAATTGCTAACTCGCGCTTGTCTATAGGTAAATCTCTTCTTCCTCTCAAGCGCTCCCAGCCACTTTATGATGAAGATTTGAACGAACGGGCGGACATAAATGAGTACTGCTGCCTCCCGCCCTAGAAAAGCAAGGACGTACAAATCCTTGTGGTGGGTGTGTAGTGGGACCTCTTGTTGATACTTCGTCACCTGATCGTGGCTCCTGTGGAAATGGATTCTTGTCGATATCTGGTTAAGGAACCGGTGGCTGACTGTTGAGGATCTAGGTACCTAAACAAAGAATTCTTACTCTTGCATATACATCCATTACGTGATGAGTTGTTTTTTTAGTATTCACACTGTTTGACTCTTGGTCTTCGGACCTTGGGATATGAACACAACATCAACATCTGATTGATTGGTATGCTTCCAATGACCTAACTACACGCGATTCCATGGCTAACCTATCTAGATTTGATCTTGCGCTTTTGTTGCCGAATTCCATGACGCTGGACGCTAACTCCGTCGTAGGTATACAATAGACGTTCTTGTGTCATGAGTGGTAAGACAACATTTCTTTGCACATATCTACACACCCCTGCCATATGATGACTCTGCTATTATTAGCTCTATCCGAGTTCATCGTGACGAACAACCTATTCACCTTGGAGAACTGATATGGTTTCCTCCACACATGGTTTTTTTTTGCAACATTGCGAAGATGTCATAGCTAACCAGCTTTATTAGATTTAACGATCAATGACCGCGAATCTATTGGCCTTTCAAGAAATATGTAACTTTGAAATATATAATTTACCAAGCCATGCTACGCCTTTCATTTTGTGAATATGTGTGATTCTTGTAGAGGTTTCCTACCTGGGAATGGGATAGCTATAGATATCTATTTTTTACGCCCGTCGTGTTCTCGTTCACTCTATGGCATATACTAAACTTATTTCTTGAGCTGCAGCCTCGCGTTCATTCCAACAATACAGCGGATCAAATCCCAATCATCCTTGTGGCCTACCCAGTCGGTAACGACGACTCCTGTACCTGCAGAACCGATCTTGAGCTTGTTTGGCCCCTTGCCATCCTCGCCGTGGCACATGCAGAGGTACTCGATAACAGAGGGGTTGACCTTGGCGGCAATACGCTCTGGCCAGCAGGTTGCGTTGAAGAAGTTGCTTGCTGTGAGGAAGTTGACGAACAAGGGGGGTAAACTAGTACCCTCCTTATGACCATCCATCCCGGCGAGAGCAAAGGTCTGCTCAGCAGCGCGTTCGAGTTGCCGACGGCAGTACTCAATCTTCTTCTCAATGTTCTGGCTCTCGGTAATTTCGTAAAAGTCTTGGACACGGATGATACCTCCTGGCACCTTGCCGTCCTCACAGTTATCGGGCCAGGCGCCTGCATCAATACCCCAACCTCGACCATCCCAGCATGTCTTCTTCATCTCGCCGTCCAAGTTGAAGCGGCGGACGATGACAATGCGACCACGGGCACCACCCAGAGTTGGAATCTTGGGCTCAGTCCACCATCGACTTCGTCTTTTATCGGCGTAGCTGTGCTTCAGATATTTTCCGAGTTGTTCGTCGTTGCCCTTTCCAGTACCTTCGCGCTTGATACTCATGATGACAGTCTCACTGCTGTTCTCGTCGAGGAACTTGTAGATATCCTCGAGCATGTCTTTGAAGTACTTGGTGCCAGTCAAGGAAATGGGAAACACGCTGTGGACAAGAGCAAGTTCATCATCGTCAGGACTCACGGACACTCGAACGTCGAGGAACCGAACACCATTTTTGAGTTGCTCCAAGACGTCAACTGCTTGACATCGAACAGAAGGAAGCGCAGTATAGCATGTAGGAGAATTGTGCGTGCCAGGAATCGAAAGCAGAGTGAGTGGCCAGTCGTCGTGAAGCTCGTGCATCCAGCGATGCAGCTGGGCAGAAGAGAAGATGGCAAGGAAGGCACCGTTGGGGGTATAAACGACAGTGAGATCCTGTTTACCTCCGTCCAGGTTCTTCATGACAGAAGATTTGTTGGAGGGGCTGGGGATGTCGACTTGATACTTGTGATCCTCATATTTGAAGGTAAGACGGACCACCTCCTTATTCTTGTCGGCGGCTCGGATTCCAGAATCCTTGGTCTTGAAGGGCTCAACTTTGACAGAGGCCTTTTCCTTGTGGATGGGATCGCCCTTGGCCTGGGTTTGACGAGAGCTGAAGTCAGTAGCCTTGATGAAGCCACTGATATGGCTTGTCATATTTGAGAGAACATTGCCAGTTCTCACAGTTTGGCCCTCGAACCTCTCGATTTCAATGAGCTCGATTGGGTTAATAGTAAGATTGCGAATGGTGAGGTGAGCCATGGCTGTGGTTGTCGCAAATAGAGTGGTCACTAATTGAATGGAATGATGGCGCTTATTGCGAGACCTCGTGGAAAGTGGATGAAGCTATCCAGGAAGAGGTTTGTTGGAGGTGGAATAAAAAAAGACAGCTAAGCTTAAAGCCAAGCAGGAAAGGCCGGAGGGAAGCTCCTTACGCGTACATAAACCAAGAGAATCGAAGCCAAGATCTGAATCTGAATCTGAATCTGAATCTGAATGTGGTGGGGGAGGTTAGGAAGCTGGGAGCTTCTGAAGCTCACCTTATCGAGCTATCCGAGCTAATTGAAGCAGGCCTAGTTCGGCATGCGCGGGGCCAGTTTTCATGTCAATTGGACCCCCTCGAATAAAGTAGCGGGGACATGGAAGCACCCAAAAGACGGTAAAAGCCTAAGAGAGCAGGGGAGCTGAGAGAATGGTTGTTGTAGATAAGTTGTAAGCTACTGTATCATGGGAGCTGAAGTCATCTCGGCTTGCGTCGTCCTTCGTCATCATTGCCAAGGGAGACTCCCTGCACCAAGTCAGACTTTTCATCTTGGGTGTTTCATCTGGCGCCAACACACCTTCTTGGATGGTTTGAAAGTGAGCTTACTACAGCTAACAGACTGGCTGGCATATAAGCCTTCGAAGCCCTCCTCAAGCAAAGGGAAGAACTGTAAAAGGCCCAACACAAAACGGTTCAGTGTTGGCGTTCCGACTTGGCTGATGAACAATTCCGTCGGGGAACCAACAATAGAACACACAAAGTAAGGCTGAAGCTGCACATTGAGTTGGATGGGTGTCAATAGGTAATCTACCCCCATGGTTGCCAGACTAATTGCACCAGCTCGACTTGGCTGATCCCCATCCTCTGAACTGGGACGGGCCAAATAATGGATAGTGTGTATCCTAAAAGGGACCGAGGGACAGGATGACCGTGCACCAGCTGCTCAAGCGACCGAGCTACAGTACCATTCCATCGGAAAGGGGGGTTTGCCTCTTATTTCCTGGTTTTCCCTGCGTGACGATTGAAACGTTGACGCCTTAGCGTTGGGGGAATGCGATCACAGCGGGAATGGCGTTGGAAGGATGCGATTATTGAGAATTGAGAGCGCTAAGAACGAAGCAAGTCTCTTATTGATTATTCCCAAGTGATTGATTTCCTTGTTGAGAGTAGCTTGAAGATTGGTCGAGGTCAAGAGACGCGTGAAGGTAAAGGTGAAGAATGGCACGGTCATGTTGAAGGTGGCAGGTGAGTGACGTGTAACACAACACAATAAGGAATTCCAACAAAGAGGGCCCAATGTTACAGCATGTAAGAAAGAGACGGAAATAATAAACCATAGAAAACTCCAATTGTATTTGTATATCACTTCATATCACAAGTTAGGAGTATCTTCTGTCGATTATTCGCATCCCAAGAATACTCTCTCACACATACAGGCGGCACTGTAGATATTCGCCTGACAGAAAGATCCCAAAGATCCCAAAGATCCCGTAAACAATAAGTCACCTTTTTTTGGTAACACAGTTAATTAATTATCATTTCATCTGTGGCTGAGACAAAGCAATGGTTCTCTTCTTAAATCAGTAATTAATTCCGCTGTGTTACATGAATATCACCAACCTTCAGGTTCCGGCTGGCCAAGGAAGAAAGAAAAGAATGAATAAACTCCTAAACCCCATGCCTTTCATCTCTAATCATAAAAAGGCCGTTCATCTCCTTCTCAGCATTGCTGTTCTCAATTCGACATCCCACGAGAGAAGTCTAAGTAAAATAGACCTCAGGGAACGCTTAAATACACCTTCACCAGGATCGTTGGAAATGTTTTCCCGTGATTACCCAGCAACCTCCGAATTCAACCCTTTCCAGAGATGTGACATGGTATTCTCCATTTAATGACTTGTTCGCCGTCTCTTAGTAGGGGCCAAGTCTTCCTCATCATCCAGGTCAAGTCGAAGTGAAGATCCAGCACGTTTCTGGATGAGACCTCCAAGAACATCTCGACTTCCAATGACATTACCTGTTCCCTCAACATTCAGGCCCGCATCGACCTGGATACTCAAGGGTCGAGGGCAGCCGGACTCGTCAATCATTGGAATGCCGCAACGGCCAGAGCTTCCCTCGTGTAAAGCTTGCACGACGGCTTTGGCGATGGCATTGGCCTGTTCCGCAGGAGTGGCTGTCAGGCACACGATGTTGTTGTTTCGTGACACATTGACAGATGTGTCAATTTTGAGGCTGATGGGTGAGCTTCCCTCGGATGTCTCGTCTTGGTCATCATCCACAGTATCAGAAAGCAGGGAAGTGCAGGTGGTTTGTTGGGGCTGAGGGCGTGGGTTATTTCCACCCATGTTAGGGAGAGCATCCCGCCTCTCTTGAATGATTCTGGCCATCATGGCAGTGAAATCAGTGACAGGAACTCTTCGTGGTGTGTAGGCTGGAGGAGGACTGTTCTCCTTAGGGACATCGACTTGGGGGTCCTGAGATTGAGAAGTGTTGTTGGGAGCGTCCATGGTTTTTTTTGTAAGGGAAGATGTATTTGTGTGCTTAGTATCGATGCTCTCTGAAGAAAAGGAGAGCAGAGTCAGGTGGTGTTACTGGACAAGATGTCTGTGTTGATGCAGAAGAGGAAGTCCAGTGCGACAGGTCAGTCATATATAAAGGTTTCTCGACTATAAAATTGCCGTTAATAACGGGAAAGACAAGATCTTGTCCTCGACACAATAGGTAAGACCAGGGGGCGAGGTGGTGGCCGAGAGCTATGCGCCACGTGTGATAGTGCTGTCTCTGGCTTGTTAGGGTTGAGGTGACGCGAGGATGAAGTGATTTCTGGATAGAGTTAAGAGGTTCAGAGAAAGGTTTTCTGGAAAGGAAGCGGGAACGGTATCCAGACATAGTTGGGCTGAAGAGAGAACAAGAAAAAGGGGAAATGAGCAAGTTTCCTCCTGTTGTGGTCTTGGAGTGCTGGACAATACAACACTAATCACAGAGAATAGAACCTATTCAACACCTGATTGACTGTCTACGTGGAGCCACGTTGGGATATCTGCAGTGAGGGAGAAGTACATGAAATTCACAGCAAACAAGATTTGTAGAAGAATCCCATCTACCCGCACGGGAGAAGGGGGTGTAGGGGGAAATGATGTGCATGGACTTCAGGCCGAGACTTTGTAAGCCATCATTTCATCTGCAACTACAATAGGGCACAATAATAGGCACTTAAGAACGGGAGGATGAATGGATCCTATAGCGCTCAGGTAGAACTCCCATCATGCTGATTCAGTCCAAAACACAAGCCACCAACATAAACACAACACGATATGTCACAAGCACAAGAGGTTGGCTAACATAATGTCGTGTGCCATGGCGTGGCCAAGCTAAGAAAAAGGACTTTGCAGCCTCAGCCGAAACTAACATCCGTCAGGCTGGGTTCAATGTCTGCATTGTACTGTGCACAGGATATGCTCTCGTGAAGGATTTCGGACTTATCCAAACGGGTATTGTTGATCTCTCTCATCAGACTCTACGCCCCCTCCACATCCGCAGAAAAAGGCTGAAACCAACGCGATGACCACCTACCACCACTGAATACCATCACCGTGGAATGGGATGGGTTCTAGCACCGGATAGGGCAAAGTTGTCACGTCAAAGCCTGTATCAGGGTACAATGCGTGCATTATCATGTCTTGCCTGTTCTTGCTGGCGGATCTTGTTGCCTATTGAAGCAGTTGGATGGTTACATATTCATTTCGTTCTCGGTGCTTCTGGGATTATCACCTGCATGAGTCCAAACGGTAATATGCAGGTATCAAAATTTGACTAACAAAATCAAGAGAACTTTTGAGACAAAATCCAGCCTTTGTCATATATGGTATTGGTGAGTTTCAACGCAAAGGTTTCGGAGATCAACAATAGCCACAGCATGAATAGTCCAACAAGAGAAGCATTGAATGAAGAAACCATCAGGGTTGTAACTTTCCTAGGTACTTACTTACTCATTAACTGATGATCGTTTATTGTATCACTTTTCTTCATGATCAGCACATTCTAGAGACAAAGTCATCACTACCAACCTCAGTGCAGTAAGGCGCTGACTCTAACATTGGACATCAGTCAGTCACGGCCGACAGTGGAAAAGCGAACCTTTTAGCAGGACGTGGTTGGCCGATACGAAAGCGGAAGGCGTGAAGGTGGCTTTCGGGGCGCGGCTTGGCGGCTTGTTGCTTCCTATTGTCCCCAGACGCGCTTGGTATTGTTGTCGAATGGCCCCCCGTAAAACCCACCTGTCAGCCCATAGTCCCGACCGAATGGGCACCGACCACGGGCGACACCTGCCGCCTATTCGCTTCCTATTGAGGCTCACTTCGGGTTTAGCGCCCGTGGCCCAGGTCCACATTTACGGACTCCTGCCGCCTTCCGCAACCTCCACAGTCTCATTCTCCCTCCAACTTTCGCACACTCACACTTGGTTCTGTACACCTCAGCCAACACAAATGTACCCATCATAGTCGGCAATAGAAAATAGATACGTCCTCCTTACGAGCTTCCTTTCTTGGGCTGACAAATGCATGTTCCAAACGGTCACAACCATCCATCATCCCTGCCGTGATGCATCTCGGGGACTTACACCGTTCAGACAGTCTCGGGCGAAACCACACCACACCACCTCCTTACCGACAAACAATATCATATTGTCCACTCGCACTCTGTATAATTCGCCGAAGGAAACCTTGCCCGTTCAATTTCCCAACAAACAAACAAAGGTCCATGCACTGGTCACCAACGCCTACCAGGTCCGCGGCGTCATATCTTGCGTCCGCACCTCCTGCAGAACCATAACCAGTTTAAGCGAAGCAGCCTTTTGACTGCCAAACCATCTCCTCGGTTCCGCTGTCTATTCAAGCTTGGGCCCCCGGCCCCCAATTTTCACTTTCTGTGCGGCCTTAACCTTCAGCGTCCAAGCCCAGAATACCAGCAGAGTGACTACGCTATAATGGCGTACCCGGGACGATCCTCTTCTCATCCGGCCTGCTGGTTCTCGACACACTGTGATGCAGAGTATACTAGCGATTCTGGACTTCGTTACATTTCACTCGATATTCACAGGTGGCTATTGATGTTGTGAGTATAAGCCTGTGGTGCAGTGACTACAATGTTTACATCTAAAACAACTAAAGGGACTGAGGAAAGGTCGTTTCACCTGTGAAAATTCTTGATCCTAGAAGTCCAGTTGGCTGGGTATCTCACTCCTGTTACTCCTGGTCCGACGTCGGCTTCAGCATAGCCTTTCGTCAAGAAGTGCTGACATCGTTGGCTGATCGGATTGCTTCCACCGTACAGTCTTATTCGCACAATCGATGTCTCAAAGAAACAAAGATCTGCAGATGATGAGATGAGAATCTACTCCTCCTACACTCACAGTTGTGACATACCGTCAGCTTCTGATAGTACACACTTTGCAAAAGAACAATGCCTACGGTCTGTTGGTAGTCCCTCCCACGTTTATTCATACCACACGGGATGATGAAGACTACACGCCCCTCCAATTGAAGCAGTTTGAGCAAGTCTTCCAGCTCAGGAAACGGAATGCCCTAAACTTGCTCAACAGCACATCTGGGTTTTCGAGCCGAAGGACTGGGCCTGTAAGCCACCAAACAAACAACTCGAGGCTTTTTGAATATGTCTCAAAGTCATGTCATGTTCTTCACCTCGCTGTATGCTCCTTTTCGCTCTTGAGGTGGTTCAATCCTATCACCTCAGGCCGAGTTGGAAAGCTTATGGCAAGCCGTGTGTTCCTCCTCATTGACCTGGGTATAAGCCATGATCATAAATGAGATGGAGCATGAGCCAGGGGGCTTCTGAATGCAGGGTAAGGCTTCTCAATGGACGGGACAAGTTTGTTCTTTCAATTGCCTGTTCTGAAGCACTCTTCATATCTTCATGTGCATAGGTAAACTTGCTGGTACTCGTTGAGCGGCCATGGAACGTAGATCCTCTGAATACCCCCTTTTCACGGATATTAGTTGCAGCCTCTGTGGTCTAATCGGTACCAATGAGTCCTGTACACCACTTCAAGTACACACATCCATATTCACTGCGCCATCTTTGAGGAGGCGAGTTGTCTTGTTTCTCGTCGAGAATGCTTTTACAGGAGTTATCTTCGACCTTGCTTCGTTTCTCAATACCCATTTGTACGTACTCTTCCTCGTCGAATCAAGAATGACTCTGCTGATGTTTTCATCACAAGACCAGCATGTGCATAGACTCCCCTTGTGTCCCAGTACAACGCTGGATCTTAAATTGAGGGGCTCCAAGGATGATATGAGGTTTAATAAAGCAGGGATATCTGAAAGGCAAATAGGCTACTTCATATTTTACTCCTATGTCAGAAGATTTGACAGTTCCCACCCCATGTCAAACACGATTACACAATGAGTTGGAGAGGTGCCGTTCAACTTTGAGAATTCTTGGCAAAAGAATCAGCTGTAGGCTCGAATGGCTCAAAACGATGATTGCCACATGAAGACGCTTTTCAGATTTCGAGGATCTGAGACACGCCTTTTCTCGTGGACAGCTGGGTCTTTCTCGTTTCCGTTTGTGGTGAACTCCTTTGGAAGGTAACCCCTGACGCACTACATGTTCACTGGACTCAAGTTCATGGTACCAGTTGTCTGTTTTACTCTTCAGACTTCAAGTCCAGACATCTATTCTTCAAATTTACTGATATGCTGCTGTTGGAATGAGCGCAGCGCAGCTTCAAGCAGCACACTCAACGTTGTCCAAACGAGTCTAAGGGGTCCAGACTTGGCAACACTTTTTGCGGCACGGGGCATCGGCCTTCGCCCAGTTCGATTTTCGATGCAACCGGATGGTGGAGGCTGGGAGCCTTGAGCACCTATGTTGCCATGGTGGGTTTTCACCTGTAGACCGTCGTTGGTTCTGGGAGGGCTCATCACATTGGATGGCACATAATCTTCTACAAGACTCCTTTCTGTTGAGAGGTCTGTGACCGAGTACCTGAGAAAGTCACAGGTACGGTCGGTAATATGGCGGATTCCAAGCGCTCTTTCCCCTGGGGCTCTCGGACCTCGCATGGCGCAGTGAGCTTTTCATTAGACACTGTTCTTGCTGGGCTGATGAGTTGCCTCACCGCACTTTACCCACAAACGGTTATCTCGACTTCAAAGCCCGCAGGCTCTGTAGATCGTCCGTAGTAGTATTCTTTTCGAATGAAGGGTGACATCACTTCGAGCAACTCCACAATATCGAACAGAAAGAAGTTATTGTGTCTAGGGACCTCTTACTGTTGCCAAGACCTTTCAGAACCTAGCGGTTACACCAGTTCAATTACGGGAGATTTAATATTGGAATAAACCAAGCGATATTAGGACGTTATATATGGTACCAGCTCATGCATAGTTCAATGGGTTGTCATGATGATGGAGTTCTTCGTGGCGTTACCCCAGTACCATGACCTACCGAGGGACTACATATGGGTATGAGAGTTTCGGGTTTCCGTTTGTGGCCAAGACCATCATGACACCTATTCAACAGCAACGCAACGCAACCAACCTATTTGTGTCTTCGGCAGAAGACTTCAGACTTCGCAGCAAACACATGTTGGACGAGTATTCCCTTGACGTGATTTCTTTCTTGGTCTAGCTGCTGTCTCAGTTCGCAGCGACAGGGCATATCTATCACTATCCCTTCACTTCAGATGCTTCTCTCCAAGATTGACATTCTTGCCAATGATCCATCCAACTTCCACCGCGTCATGGTCTCGCCCGCCTACTGCATCAGCTCGGCTAGAGATCCAGGAAAGAAAAAGATGTTGAAGTTCTTTTGTTTCCTCGTCAAAACGCCGCTCACACGAACGCGTCGTCTTTTGTCATTCCCTTGTCGTGGTATCGTTAAAATGCAAGTCTCTTTTTGACTTTTTTTTGCTTCGCCTCACAAATGCAGGTTTGCCCTAATATGTCTTTGTTGAAAGACGCCCACTCCGTGCCTGGTATATATCGCAAAAGAATCCCCACTACCGTATAACCGAAATGGCTTTTTGGATAGAAATTATAAACAAAATAAAAGCCGGAAACCGACCGTCCTCCCTTCCGGTGGGAGATACACAGGTTTCGTTGAGAACCGTACGCCGCCTATATTTGCTAAATCAAATGAACTGATTAAACATCTTCACGATGCATGCAGAGAGCTGTTGAATACTCTTTTGGTGACTTGATACAATGTCAATGGTCAACTTAGAACTTGAGTTCCTTGGGCTGCTCCCAGCTGAAGGACTGGTTGGTACCGAAGTGGCCGTTCTTGGCAGTCTGGAGGTAAATAGGGTGGTCCAGGTTGAGCTCACGGACAATGACACCAGGTCGGAGGTCGAAATTGTCTCGGATGATCTGGACAAGCTCCTCGGAGGTCTTCTCGGAGGTACCGTAGGAGTCGACGTAGATGGAGAGAGGCTCAGCGACACCAATGGCGTAGGAGAGCTGGACAAGAGCACGTCGGCAGAGCTTGGCGTTGACGAGGGACTTGGCAATCCATCGGCCGACGTAGGCAGCAGATCGATCGACCTTGGAGAAATCCTTACCGGAGAAAGCACCACCGCCGTGGGCACCCCAGCCACCGTAGGTGTCGACGATGATCTTTCGGCCGGTCAGACCAGCGTCACCCTGGGGACCACCAATGATGAAGAGGCCAGAGGGTTGGATCTGAAGGGAGAGTTAGCACTTTCGCTTGCTGCTTGCTGTGTTTTGACAAACTTACGTGGTAGATGGTCTCGTCGCTGAGGTACTTGGCGGGGATGACCTTCTTGATGATCTTCTCCTTGATCTCCTTGCGGAGCTCCTCAGTGGAGATATCGGGAGAGTGCTGAGCAGAGACAACAACGGTGTGGACGCGCTGAGGGACAACGGCACCGTTGTCGTGCTTGTACTCAATGGTGACCTGGGTCTTGGTGTCGGGTCGGAGCCAGGGCAGAGAACCGTCGCGGCGAGCAGCGGACATGGCAGCGTTCAGCTTGTGGGCGAAGAGGAGAGTGAGGGGGAAGAGCTCGGGTGTCTCGTCAGTGGCATAACCGAACATGATACCCTGGTCACCAGCACCGAGCTGCTCGAGAGCCTTCTCGTAGTGAAGACCCTGAGCGATATCGGGAGACTGCTGCTCAATGGCGACGAGCAAGTTGCAGGTCTTGTAGTCAAAACCCTTGGCAGAGTCATCATAGCCGATGTCCTTGATGGCGTCACGGACGACCTTCTGGTAGTCGAGCTTGGCTTGGGTGGTGATCTCACCGAAGACCATGATCATACCGGTCTTGGTGGCAGTCTCGCAAGCAACCTTGGAGAGGGGATCCTCCCTGAGGCAAGCATCGAGGATGGCGTCGGAAACCTGATCAGCGATCTTGTCGGGGTGGCCCTCACCGACGGACTCGGACTGGTTGGTTGTCAGTGACTGGACTGCGGGATAATAAGACCTCGGTACTAGGTCACATTGATAGATCCGATAAGGGATCGCTCAGATGTGAGCTGCGCAATGGGGGGGCCGGGAGGGACCTACGGTGAAGAGGAAAGAACCCTCGTTGTAGTGCTTCCATGAGGAGAGCTCGGCGTGAACGCCGTTGGTGCCGTTGGTAGCAGACATTGTGAGGATTAGGTGAAGAAGGAGAAGGATGTGAGAGAAAGAGGTAACGGTTAAAGCTGGGCAGACCCGGACAAGTCTGTTTATTTGGTGACGATGGAGTTGAGGTCACTGAAGCGACTGAGTGTTAGAATGAACCGACAATGGAGAGCAATTGGAACAAGGACATACCAAAGAAAGAAGGCGCTGAAGAAGGGAGGAAGTAGGAAGAGGATGAAGAAGGGAAAAGCAGAAAAAGATTCGAAGCGGGAGCGGGAGGTAGTAGTACCTTAAAGAAAAAGGCGGGAAGGAGGGGGATGTGCGAATACGTTGTTGCAGGCTTTATTATGAGCGAAGTGGGGGGTGGGAATTTTCCTTACCAAAAGGTCGGAGAGATTTATGTAGGTACCTTGGCTCGGGCAGTTTTTTCTTTCGTCCTTTCTTCCAGATTTCGTAGACAATTGCCAGGATGAGCTTACTCGCGACTTGTGCAATGACTCGGTTTACGCCCATATGACTACAATCTCAATGTACCCGTCGAACATTGCCCAATGCTACAGTACAATGGCTTCTCAATGAAAAGGTGGGGATCGACAAAAAAATAGTGCCTGCTCGTTTTTTTCTGTTGAACGGCCCTCGGTCGCGATTGTCCAAATCTACAGGGTCCGAAGTCATAAGAGGGTACCTGTATTAGTATGGGGAAATAGCGTGAAGCACAGGTACACTGCTTATCGCAGAGGGTAGGCTTTCGGTGGCCGCTACCCTTGGCGATAGAGGGGTAAATGACACTTGGAAAGAGAGAAAAGGCACGTTCTTCGGAAGCCGAAATTTGCGGCAGTATTGCGCCATCGCACCTGCCGTCAGTTGCAGACAGTGCCTGCCAGTGTTCGGAATACAGGAAAACATACGTCCTTCTCAAGTGTTGACATTGTGGAACATCCTCTTTCTTTTACGAATACCTAACTTATGAAATGTATTCCTAAGCTTCAATTACTAAGGTAGTCCTAAGTCTGAGCATAGGGTTCTCATAGATTGAGTTGTTGAGGTCTTAACTCTACATGTTAATCTCGCTTTTCTTGCACCCTCTCGCTAACTAACCCGAGCTCATCAATGCAGTTGCAATCCGTCCTCACTCGTACTCGTCTCCCCGCTTCCCGTCAATCCCCTCATCTAAGTTAGGATATCCGGTTGTAGGAACAATGGGCCATGAGTTGCCGAACCTATCAGCCGCAATCCTTCCAAGAATAATCCTTGACCAATTCCCTGACTGATTTTCATACACGTGCGCCAGCATCCGGAGAAGATAGTCGAGTGGATGTCAATGAAAAGGTGTCTCTACTAACGTAAAAAAGTTATCATGATGGCCCCGAGTCTCGGCATGATAACCTAGTACATGTACAGTAATGGCGGGGCAGATAGCTTCACACGAGAGGCCAAAAGAGAAAAAGAGGCTGAGAAACGACTTTTTTTTTTTATGGCGCCGGAGCAGGAGGGGCAAAAACGGCGAGGAAAAGAAGGTGTGAAAAAATCCGAACTTTTACCCCACCATTCAGGTTCCCTTCCAGAACATGTCAAAAATTCACTACCTCTTACAAGCTCGTCACCATCACCACATCGAGAAGTGTAATCCTCATCGATATCCAAACAACGAGATATAACCGACGTTGAACCTTGGCTATACGGTGCAGAGCTATCACTTTCTGTCATACTCTTCTGCTAGATCGGCCCCCCTCTATCTCAAGCAAGCGGGGCTGCTTAGAATCTGTAGCTACCTAGTAGCTTCGACCCTGGAGCTATCAAATCGGATCTTGGCCCTTGTTCTTGACAACCAAAACAAACAACGTACAACATCTTAGTATCTTCAACATGAGCAAGTTCGGTGCCATGATCATGGGCCCTGCGGGCGCGGGCAAGGTACGTGGGATTGCCCTTTGCTTTAGCTTCTGTTCTGCGATACCGCCTCTTGTTGCATCATCGTTCTCACCATGCTGTCCTGGATCGCGTGCTGGTCTTTTTGTTCCCAACATTCATCAATGCGCCCCAACTAACTTTGCATTCTGTCGCGTCTAGTCAACTTTCTGCGCCGCCCTAATCACTCATCTTAATCTTAATCGCCGTTCTGCCTTTTACATCAACCTTGACCCTGCCGCCGAATCATTTGAGCATGAACCAGATCTTGACATCAAAGAACTTATTTCTCTCAAAGATGCTATGGAGGAGGTTGGCCTCGGACCTAACGGTGGCCTGATCTATTGCTTTGAGTTCCTCATGGAGAACCTCGACTGGTTGACCGAAGCTCTCGACAGTCTGACCGAGGAATATCTCATTATCTTCGACATGCCTGGTCAGATCGAGTTATACACACATGTCCCTATTCTACCGGCTCTGGTCAAATTTCTGTCCCAGCCGGGCTCTCTTGACATCCGCATGGCCGCTGTCTATCTCCTCGAAGCCACATTCGTTGTCGATCGAGCAAAGTTTTTCTCTGGTACCCTTAGTGCCATGAGTGCCATGCTCATGCTCGAGGTGCCACACATCAACATCCTGTCCAAGATGGATCTCGTTAAGGGTCAAGTGAAGAAGAAGGATCTCAAGCGCTTCCTCACACCTGACGTGGGTCTGCTCGACGATGACCCCATCGAGCGTGCGCGTCGTGTTACAGAGGGTCCTGAAGCCGAAGATGACGAGTCAAAGGCACCTGACGAGAAGGAACAAGTAATGAAGGGTGCTAGTTTCCGACGACTGAACCGAGCTGTGGCTGGCTTGATCGAGAGCTTCAGTATGATCAACTATCTCAGGCTAGACGTGACCAACGAGGACAGCGTCGGTGCTATTCTGAGCTACATTGACGACTGCATACAGTTCCACGAAGCTCAGGATCCCAAAGAGCCCCATGATGAGGAATTTGAGGATCATGACGACTAGTGTGGATATAATGGCAAAGGGAGAACCTGAGAAAAGAGAAATCTGTGGTATCTTGATAGTAGTATTGCATAGCGCCGGCGTTACTGATTGCTTCTCATGGTCTGAGATTGAATTGAGCTTGGACGTGATGTGTCACAGTCTCGCTCTTTTTCCTAACCTGCCCCTTTCCACCTCTTTCGTGATAATCGTAAGAATGATGCTGATGGGTGTGTTATGTTGTATGGTCATGATATATCCATGCTTTGTTTCTGGTGCTTCCCTTGATGTTCCGTCTTCTGGGGGTATTCAAAAGTGTCGGGTCGTATGCAAAACAGCCATTGCTGTATATTCGCCGTCCACATAGATTCGTTCTGTATGGACGTCGCTTATCTCGATCGTCGTCCAGAAGCCGTGCCTCTGGTTCCGGTCATGCCCTGTTGCGCCTCGTAGCGATCATACTCCTGCAGCCAAACATTCTTGATAACGGCCAGGTATCCCACGATCTTGCCGCCCATGACAGCCATATCCCTTGCACTCTCAAAGACACCACGCTCCCAGATCCACGCTGCAAGAGCAAGTAGAAAAGCCCAAGTCGCGATGCGCATAGCCATGCGCGTCCACCACATGAGCAGACGACGAATCCAATTGAGAATTATTACAAGAGTGGCGAGTACAACCAGCGATGCAATCACGCCGACGAGGCCTTGGTTTTCTGCTAGTACGATCATGACGCGATCAAATAGCGGCTCGAGAAGAGGCGCAGCCGTGTCGAGAAGATTCTGCGCTTGGTCGAGGACGTTGCGCGCGATGATTTGGACGGGCGAGCGTGGGTGCAGGATGTGCTTTTGGATAGAATCGGCGAGCTCTGGGGGGAGCAGCGCTGTAAGGAGGTGCGTTGCCAGCGTTGGGGGTTCCACGGAGGGCATTTCGGCGATAATTTGTGATGGGAATCCTGTCGGTGTAAGGTTTGAGTTTGAGTTTGTTGATGCTGGTGGGGGAAATGTTGTTTCGTGGCTTTTCTGTGCGAGCGTCCAGGGTAGTTGTGAAGGGAAAGTTGCGGTCTAAGATACCTAGCTCAGGTAAGCATTAACTACTACTTGCCCCTTTGTTTACTGGAACGTGACTTGATATATGAAGTGGCCTGAGATTTACTTAAGTTCTGATAGAAATATCATTGCAATGTGAATATTTATTAGACTACTCTTCACAGGGTGACTCGATTTCATCTTATGTTGACTAGGGTATTTATGCTCTGGAGGTATGATTTCAGAATATATCAGCATGAGTGTTCAAAGACGGTTGTAAGGTACCGGTACGATGACGGGTACTATGATATAATAGTATAGTTTAAGCGAATGGAAATGGAGATCTATTAACCATAACACAACAATCAACAGTCTGCACTCGATCACATTCACTGCCTTACCTAACATTTTTTGAACATATCTGAGTCTATCACATGTAAAATGGTGCAATCTTAACTAAGGGTCTAAAGGGTCAAGATCACAGCACGGACCAACATGCGCAAACAGCACACGAGCATGCCATAGACAGTCTGAGTGCCATGAATTGATAAGTGAAATATGTCGTGATTGAAGATATAAAAAGTCCTGTAAAGGTCATGATTTTAAGAATAAATAAGGAAGCAAATCGCTAGACTTGAAGGGTATCGAAAATAACCTGGTCTCATCCAAGACAGGTCTCAACTCCGTCTGCTCAAAACCAGAGCATCATCATGTGTGATAATATCCCTATCCACCTCCATGTAAAGCGCCATGCAAGAAAAATACCACCTCTTCGAAATACTTGGCCTGGTAAAAGTACTCGGGCAACTATACTCACTCTTCAAGCCCCTCAAGAATGCGTCGCGCAGCATCAATTCTCCTACGGTACATGCGTGCCTCTGTACCAGCTCTCGATGACTCTGTCAATCCTAGGACACACTTCCCAAGACTGGCCACAAGTCTCTCGACCAAGATCTGACTTTCTTTGTCAAGCCCTTGTACAGCGGAAGTATTACCGTTCTTTTGTCCACCTTCAATACCGCCCAACCCAGCTGCTTCATTAAGGAGACTTTCGGATATCTGCCTGAGCTCCGAGTCGGGTGATCCCCCGGGGGTACCTGTCGGTGTCAAGATCCCGTTGGTTCCCTTAGACTTGTCTACGAGAGGGAAGCTTCGGTTTGTCCCTGTCGACCCGAAAGATGACATCGAAGGCCGATGGCGTGCGTAGGTAGCTGCGCTGCTACTAGGTCGACGAACCACGGTGTTGCGCCGGGGATGGCTTTGGTGATAATCGACAGAGCCGTTTCTCGAAGGGGCTCCTGATCGAGGGAACTTGAAGTTACCAAATGTTGCCCGTTTCGAGCTCAGGGGCGCGTCCGAATCTCCTGGCATGATGACGATGGTCTCTGTGGCATCCTCAAATTCCGAGTTGCGGCTCAAACGGCCTTCGGTGGCTGTGGCAAAACTGTTAAAGGACGACATAGTATCAACGCTCGGTCTCCTTTCGTGATCAGAATCAGAATCAGGTGCAGAAGCGGGGGCGACGATAGGGCCGCGAGTTGTCTCAACAGAATCACCAGAGCTCACACTGCTCCAGCTCTCTCGTCGATGCTGGCTCATTGTTCCCATTGCTGAGTGAAGAAAAAAGTGCTCGTAATCGAAGGCATCCTCACGATCCTCGTGAGACACGGGGGTTTGAAAGGCATCATGGTATGATGACTCGCCACTCTCGCTCTCAAAATCCACAAACTCGTCGTCGTCATCATCCTCGACATCGTCATTGTACTCTCCATTCTGTAGTCCGTAACCATTTCCCTCCTGCTTAACATCTTCCTCCTCTTGTTCCAGATCTCCTTCCCACGTTTCGCCGTCATCATTCATGTCGTCATTTTCTTGCACTTGCGTTTGCACTTGAATGTCATCTCCAAGATCGGGTTCCGCTTCAAATTGAGGCGAACCGCTCTGCTCTTGAGCCACAACTACGCCCGGCGCGTCAGAAGCGCGAGGGCCATGTTCAGCTCCAGCATCTAACGTTTTCGCTGATTCTTCAGAGGGTTCCTTCGAGCCCTCCTTAGGCGACATTTGACCATTTACATTGTCCTTAGGCGATCCCTGGTTCCAGGGCGCTTGCCAGGCGGGAGTTTCCGGAGTAGTCTCTTGTGATGTTCGAGACTCTGGAAGTCCTTGATCCCATCTCGCGTGAGTAAACGGGCTGGGTGTCCTGAGGCTCTGCAGACTACGGCGTTTCAAGCTGTCAGCCCGTGCTTGCTCTTTGAGACTGGAAATCTTTCCTCTCAGATCCTTCATCTGATGCTTCAAGTCACGAACCTGAGCTACAGATGCGGACCGAGGCATATCTGTATCCGTCATGGAACCGAACGTGGGGCTCAACTGATTATAGAGATGAGAGCTGCGTCGGCTGTCTCCATTTGCACCGCCTTCATCTTCACTCAAAGTTTCCAGCATGGGATCGAGAGTCGTGGGACTCCTGTGAGAGGTGGCGCCGTATCCAATCCCGAGAGCATCGGCACTTCTGGATGAAGTCAATGGCTGCCGATAACCCCCAGCAGCACCCAAGGCGCTAGCAGAGCGTTGGGGGAAGCCGGGGCTGGCAAGGCCGTTTTGTGAACTAGTTTCGCTAAGATTTCTAGAGTGCCCTTGACTCGAACTCAAAGGGATGGTAGACTCTCTCAAGGACGTTGCAGGTCGAACAATTGGCGGAGAAGGGGTTGACCCATCGGACATCGGAGTAAATAAAGAGCTTCTTGCCCTTGACAGGTTGCCCTCCATCGTCTGCAGTCTTGTTAGCATTGCGCACTCATTATTTAGCTGGACAATGTGAAGCCCACCGTTAATCTTTGCTTCGCATTTGCCAGAATCTGTTCTGCCCTATCACTAAGAGAACTGGTTGAATAGCGCTGCTCGGTGGCTTCCTGAGTACGAGCTATGCGCGGAACCCTGGGTTCTCGTACAGCTGTACCCTCAACATATGAAGATGCCATGCTCTCCTCATCGTCGCCCTGGAAGTTGACGTCGTCGACGCTGACTGAATCGTCAAAATCCCCGAAAGGCGCAGCGCGGCCTTGCGAAGTAATTGTACTGTTGGAGTCGATCGAAGATTTCCTCTCCCGCTGCAGAATTTGCGATCGCGACTTGATGCGGGTTACCCCCGTTGTTGGGGATGAGCCCAATACGTGATCATCATTGCTGTAAACGGACAAATGCGCCGAACCGCGGCGTCCTCCTTTTCCTACCACGCTTTCAACTTCTGTCACCTCACCAATGTCTGATAGCATAGTTCCATTTCCATATATGATGGGCGTTGAGGGGGCAATTGGTCCAGCGATAAATTGGTTTTGCGAAGAAGGGAGGTGGAAGCGCATGTCACTGGTCTGAGCATTATTCCACATCCTTATGGGTGACTGTGAACGCTCATCAAGGGAAACATCGCAATCGTAGTCGGGCAAGATCATGTCGGGATTCGTCAGTGTCGGTGAACCAGGGACTGGCCCGTAGTTCAGTGAAGAACCCGAGCCAGACTTGCCATGGCGGACATCGCGACTATAGTTGGGGAAGGTCTGCGCTGCCATGATTTCTATACCAGGGTTGGCTGATACCAGAGGCGAGGCAGTCGAGTTACTCGGGATGTAGAGTGTTCAGTCGGCAGTATTATGTCTCGTCTCGCAGCACGCCTAAGAAGCTACCGGCTGATTTTTAGGACACGGTACTTGGACAGGCCCTTACGTATCGGTCTCAGCTCGGTTGCGCACGCGAGTGGGCTTGTAGGAGGCTTTGTTGTGTTTCTTGTTTATGTGAGTGTGCGCAGTCCGTGATTCGGTAGAATTAGAGACAATGTCTCGAGGGTTGAGAGTTTGCCAGTCGAAAAGAAGAGTAGCGTGGCGCAAAAAATTAGGTAGAGATGCCGATCAGACAAAGAAAAGACGTAGTCGAGCGAGTAAGGAGCGAATGAATGAGCGTGTCGTTGATTTAGTAGGTAGAGCCGAGCAAAGCGAAGAACAAGGTTCTATTCGCAAAGGGCGCAGTCAGCCAGAAACCTAACTAGGCATGAGAAATGAGTGAGGAGAGCATCCAAAAGTTGGGATGTGGAAAAAAGCAATGGATGGACGGAAAGAGCGACTGATAGGTGGTGATGGATGTTGGGGTTCCGTCCATACCTAAATTGAATGAACCGTAATCGAGTGAGGTACGTACCCTTTTAATTGAACCTGCAGATGCCCGGACCTCTTAGGACTTCTATGAACTCCACAGCTTAACAATGGATGGGTGCTTATAATGAACAATAACGGAATTACAAAGATCAAGCACGATGATGCTTGCTCATGAGGACTTTATGGAGAGGCTGTTGACTTCAGGTGATCAACAGAAACCCAATTGCGCAGTTTATCACTTCAACAATGACGAACAAAACCTTGGAATGCACTCTTCAATCTTTGGCGTCGGCTCCCAGTTTTAGATGCAGTGAACCGCTGCTAAATCAAGGGACTGACCCGAAAAAAATGACCACTAGGCCGTTGAGCAAAACGGGAAATATGGGGGAACCCGCCTTGTTTTGCTGCTTGTTTGAGGCGTTTAGTTTTGCTCTAGTCCCATCCTGAGACCTTGATTGGTGGTAGCCAAAATGCAGTAAACCAAAGATTGAAACAATGGTTCGTGACGCCGCGCGTAGAGAAAAGACCAACAATGAACAATAAAAGGTTCAAAGGTGTCGCGTAGTACAGAGATCTGCAGTGAAAGCCTAAATACCATACGCAAGACACAACTACCTCTGCACGCCGTCCTCCTGAAAAGAAAGGGATACGAGAATACCTGCAATAGTACATGACGATATGTGGCCTATCCTCCAATTAGGTTGTATACTCCGGTACTATGGATAAACTAAGTTGATCAATATGTTGCACCAAGTAATTTCCATTCCCGTTATAGACCGGGATTAAGGATCAAGAAATCTGGAAGACGCAAGGACTCATTGAAGATAGGGGCGCCAGCTCAACCCACCGCTTCAGCTGTGATGTGCCTAATTAGGAAAGTTTCCAGAACATGTAGCGAACATCCTAATTAAACTTTGCTACCCCAGGATAAAAAGCCACCTGTTTCATTCATGACAGCAGGCCGACAAAACACCAAGTACTCTAGTCAATAGTAAACAAAGCAACAAGAATTAGCGTTTTGGAGCGGTGTTTTCCCCCGAGCGGAGTCTCAAGGGGGAATCTGTGTAGATGCAGTGACGTCGTACACTCCATGCGTTACGAAAAGATGGACCAACTATTTCTCGATATCAACATCAAGGACCATGGCGCCGCCCAGAACTGCACTTCTTCAATAACCGACGCGCCAGAAAGCCTATGCAGATGAGCGACACTTACATTGCCCAGATAATGACACAGGAATACCAAAAATAGATCATATGATGAACTGTAAAACCATCAGCTGTCCATGTTTCAATGTTTTACATTCGTGACACAACGCCACACACGCTCATGACATTCACGCAAGGGTTTATGTTGAACATGTCTTTCCAATCATGCCGTCATCCCAGCTTTTTGATATATCCCATCTATGACAACTCCTATAAAAATGCATTTCCTGTTACAGGACGACCAGCCCCGTCGTGTTTCGTTTTCCATAGTCTAGTTCAAAGCAATCGTAACCTTCTTTTAAAACGTCTTTTCTTTTGCGTTTGAAAGCATTTAGTCGTCAGCGAAAGCCTCAGCTCGGGCCTCGACGCTCTTCTGCGACTCATCCTTGGAGGGTCGGTTGGCAATGAGGCGCTGACTGGTCAGTACCACAAACTTTGTCATATGGTGGAGGGCACTTACAACCAAGTTTCTCAAGAGGATAGCAATGGTAACCTTGCCGACGGATGGCACGTAGATGGAGGCCTTCTCCTTAATGGCGGGACCATCAAAGTTTCTGTACGAGGAGAAGTTGATGCAGACAGCACCGTCGCGGATGAGCTCGGTGGGTACCTTGAAAGACTCGACGGGAACTCCTCCAATGACAACGTCACTGAGAGGAAGGCAGTCCTCGAGTTTCCAACCCTCCTTGTCCTCGACCTGGTGGCGGGCCTTCTTGATGCCCTCTCCTCGGGTGAAGATCTGGACACCAGTGACGTCGACGGAGTAAACGGTGGCGCCATCGTTGGCGAGGAGGGCAGCAAGAGGTCGGCCGTTGACCTCGGATCTGTTGATGACAGTGATAGTCTTTCCGAAAAGTCGGTTCCCGGAAGCCAGGATGGGGTTGTAGATCTGCAAGTACTCAAGGATCTTGACAACAGCGAGAGGAGTGCATGGAAGGATGGACTTCTTGCGGTTCTCAGGAGGGTCAATGAAGCGAATGTTGTGGTACATGTTGTGGATGTGCTTGTGTCGAAGACCCTCAACGTCCTTTCCAAGGTCAACAGACTCCTGGATGTACTTGTCGTGAGAAGGGTTGTTGGGGAAGATAGGGTAGTAGACAATCATGCCGTCGACATTGTCGTCGTCATTGGCCTTCATGATCTCCTCCTCGAGAAGCTCCTTGTCCACAGTTCGGAGGTCAAAGTTGAATCCGCTATGTTTTACATTAGCGCCAGGTCGAGGGGCAAGCATCACCCGATAGACTGGGCGATATTCAAGCCACGCAGAGGAATATCTCACTTCTCTTCACAAGTCTTCTTGGACCACTCAGCATACTTTACGGCAGCGGGATCACCGTTGGCGAGGAAAGCAGCCAGTGTGGGAGTGCAAGGGTTCTCGCCTTGGATCTTGGCCAGTGTGTCCTTGACCTCACTGAGGTAACCCTTGGCGATAGTCTCAGCAGTGATGACCTTGCAGGTCTTGGGGACAGTTGAGGTAGCCATTGCAAAGGTTCTCAGACTGCGGAAGCAGGTTATTATCTGAGATCTCATAGTCAGTCACATGTATTGCTTCTCAATCTTGTATCTTCTCTTTTGTTCTCTTCTCATGTGAAGTCTATCCCAGGTGAACAAACACACCGAGAAGATCCCCACACTAATCTGGCTCTGAGCCGTACTACCAGAATTTTTTGGGGGGAGGGGGGGAAGAAGCATGATGCCGTCACAGGAACCGTTGGCACGTGATGAAGTGCCCAAGACATCCCAGAAAGGTCACATACCTTAAGGAAAATGGGTTGATTCAACTTTGGCCAGAAGCTGGAAGTTTGAGGAGAAAGAAGAACAAATAATCACAAGCAATTGTCCCCCCACCAAAGAAAACAAAACTCCGAGTGACCATGGAGGGGCATCTTGAAGGAAAAATGTTTGCGCAAAAAAATTCAGACCCTTCTGCCATCCAGTCAGAGTCGAGCATTTACAGTGCCCCTCTTACTGCATAAGGCTTAGCGGGATAATGTTCCAGCAGTGAGAATTACAGAGGAATGCTCTAGAGATTCAAGATTTTCGAGGTTAACTTAATACTCAGAGAATCAAAACTGATCGAAAGACTACCGAGCCTCAGTCGAGGGGCAGAGTAAAACGTGCTGCATTGAATCTATTGGAAGTGTGCCGCGGAAAATAAGTAATTATTCATATTCGAGTTGAAGATTCCAGCTTCTACCTCCGCCGATCTCGGCGCTTGTTTTAACGCTCAAGTAGTTCCACTTACAACATCGACATTTCACAATGGGAACCAATTATCGCCGTGCTAACATTGACAGCTTAATATCCATTGCTTCCAGAAAGAAGAACAAGAATCGACGACGGAAACCTGCTAAGAAATGTGTTGGTTTTTGTACGTCCAAGCGGACGGCACAGAAGGTCGCAAGGCTCAGATCCCTGAACCCAATGTCGCTTTCCAGCGCTTTTAGTGGTCGCGCAGAGACGCCCGGTGGCTGTATGGCTTTCGATAGTCGCTGAGTTACTCAGGATTTGGGAAGTTCGAGGTCTTTTTGTACTGCGCTGAGCATTCCACAGAGATTTAGAGAACCTGATGAACGGACGCAGAAGCAAGTGCTTATGTACCTTTTGCAGGCTCTTATGATCATTGAGAAGCATGGTAATAGTCACCAGTTATTATATCCTGTTATCAGCGATGGGGCCATGGAACAGCCTATCCATGAAGATTCGGGGAGATTAAAAAGTCTTCTGAGCCATTCAAAAGCCTTCAAAAGGTCATTTCTCATGAACTGTCCCTGGTGTTGTACTGCCCAGTACCGACGATCCGGAGCCCCCAAATCTTGACACGACACCACCGCATCAGAACGCCCGCGAAAAGATAGGATAATTCCCTAGCGCCTTGCCGTATCTGGTACAATCCTTTGAGTTTTGGCCCAGGAATCAGGTCGTTTCCGAGTCCGAACCACTTTCTTATCTCCGTTGGTTCCTAAGCCTGTTCTCCCTCTATCGCTAAGACTCCAATCTATGCTATATATATGGCACTACCCCGCCACCCTTTCGCTCCGCGGAGATTCACATTTCAACGCTCCAAATACCACCACGGCCTTATCTCTCAACCGACTGGGTGCTAGTCAATGCCCCTGGACAAAAGCCACCCTACAGCGGCTCGGGGATCGCAGTAGCCTTGTCCCTTATCGCGGCTCTTGTCTGATCGCCCTGCCGCAGCCCGTCACACCTGGCACACCTGGCGCCCCTGACCAATGGCATGTTGGATATTTGACCACGGACGATCAGCTTATCGTAGGTGAGCAGCTTGGCTTGCAGATAGGAGCTGCCCAGGCTAGTACAGTCGTAGTAGCTTCGGTACATGGCCGTCAGTCTGAATGCCTGATGATGCTGCAGGCCTTATCTCGCCATGCCATACCATGCCCACGCGAGGACGAGTCTTGTCTTCCGACATGCATTCTTTGAGACAGGATATGGAACCCCAAGCCAAAAAGCACATGCAAATACCTACCATTCGTCTGAATCGTTATCTCTGCCGGTTAATTCAGTTCCGAAAATTGGCTGCCCTTTCTCGCTCGCTTGACTGATTACGCCTCGACACTTCAGGTTATCTATCCAGGAACTGTCAGGGGCTCATGGCATGTTTTCCTAAAACACCAAAATATTTCTTGGATACTTGACAAAAAAACCTCTGAATCTATAATTGCAGAGCAAGTGTTCCGCCAAGAACGATCGTTACCGTTGAGAGGCTACCACGTTATCAACTTATCGGCCACTGAGACTCTGTAACACTGCATTTCAACGGGCCGCTCTTAGCCCCCGTCATCAGCCCAGTTCTTATCGGATTAACGAGGAATCGTTTGCAGAAATCTGGTTTGAGCATCTCCGGCCTTCCGGACTATTGCTGGCTTGTTCACTCACCACAGTCTCATTGAGACAGCACAGCCAGATAGACCTCTTATCGACTCGAATTCCCACAAAAAAGATCTAGGAAATCCGGAGATACAGTTTTCGATATTCTTGTCAATCTGGGGTCGTGGAGTATACGATATTCTTATTCTATATATCTTCCAAGCATTGTCCATTTCCAAAAAAGATATTCACCAAGCTCAACATCGACAAGCAACTCAGAGACAAACGGAAACCTCTTAGCTCTCACGAATTCTTTCATCCGTTTTCAAGAGAGCCAAATTAGTTGTCTTGACATTTCCCAATCTCATCGATTAGCTTGTTCAAGATGGGTTTTCAAATCGCCCACCTGTGGAAGGCCCCTGAGGTCAACCCCATCAGCCGAAAAGCACGAAGTGTGCCTATGCTCAACCCTATCGACATCTATGGTCGAGTATTCTCTTTCTCATGGCTCGGTTTCATGCTTGCTTTCTGGGCATGGTGAGTCTCAAAAATCCAAATGTTGGTGATGTGATAATCTGACTGAGATTTCAGGTACACCTTCCCACCCCTATTGACGGTCACTATCAAAGAAGATCTTCATCTCACACCGGCTCAAATCGCAAACTCCAACATCGTTTCTCTATCTGCTACTTTCTTCCTTCGATTCTTGACCGGCCCTCTTTGTGATCTGTATGGACCTCGACGTGTATTTGCCTACTTGATTCTCCTCGGCTGCTTCCCCATTGGCCTCGCACCACTTGTCAACAGCGCCACTGGCCTATATATCTCTCGATTCTTCATTGGTATTCTCGGTGCAACTTTTGTCCCTTGCCAGGTTTGGTGCACTGGTTTCTTCGATAAGAATGTTGTCGGCACTGCCAATGCCCTTGCCGGTGGCTGGGGTAATGCAGGTGGTGGAATGTAAGTGAACATCCTCTCATGACACTCAAAGCCTTTCGATATATAGGAATTGTTAAAGAAAGAGTCTAACTTACTGAATAGCACTTACTTCATCATGCCTGCCGTCTTCGACTCACTAGTCGCTCACCAGGGCATGTCCCCTTCCAAGGCGTGGAGGGTTACCTTCATTGTCCCCTTGATCTGCCTGATCGTCTGCGGTCTCGGCATGCTGTTCCTTTGCCCTGACAGCCCTATGGGATCGTGGGAGGATCAGGCTATGCTCGTCCGAAAGAACATGGAGGCTCATGGAATGTCTAGCTCTGGTGACGTTACTCCCGTCGGTACACCTGACCGCTGCGGTTCAGATGAGGAGAAGAACCCCGGTGAGGAGAGGGATGTCAAGGTTGGCGACCACGAGCACCCTATCTCGCGCAACGAGGCCATGGAGTTCGCTCGAGGTGAGGTCATTGTCAAGCCAACTCTTCGTGATGCCCTCCATGTCTGCTACTCTCCCCAGACCATCTTCCACGTGGCGACCTATGCATGCTCCTTCGGTGGCGAGCTTGCTATCAACGCCATTCTGAGCTCCTACTTCAAGAAGAACTTCCCCCACCTCGATCAGACCAAGGCCAGCAACTACGCCGCTATCTTTGGTTTCCTCAACTTCCTCAACCGTCCTCTTGGTGGAGTTATTGCCGACATCATCTACAACAAGTGCGGACGCAACCTCTGGCTCAAGAAGGTCTGGATCGTCGCTTGCGGTGTGCTGACCGGAGCTCTTCTCATTGTCATCGGAAAGGTCAACCCCTCTGAAGCCAATGGCGGTGATATTGGTACTTTGGTTGGCCTCGTCGTGGTCATGGCCATCTTCATCGAGGCTGGCAACGGTGCCAACTTTGCTCTTGTACCTCACGTTCACCCCTCTGCCAACGGTATCCTTTCAGGCCTGACCGGTGGTGGTGGTAACATTGGTGGTATCATGTTTGCTGTTGTCTTCCGCTTCATGCACGGCGGTAACGACTACGCCATGGGTCTCTGGGTCATTGGCATTATTACCATCGCGTTGAACTTGGCGGTTTGCTGGATTCCTCCTCTGCCCAAGGGCCAGGTTGGTGGCCACTAAGTGCAGAGTTGCAGTATTGGAAAAGGGAAAAATACGAATGGGATAGACGAGTGTTTTATGAACTTGTTAACTGGTTTAAACGGCGAGCGGGCGCGCACTGGAATTGGTCACGATTTGCGAATGGTTAAACCATTGTTGGGATAGAAGGAATTGGTACGGAGTAGCTAGGATATCCCGCCGCATCAGGCTCGATGCGAGATTCATTTCATGAATATTATTGGATCATAATTAACCAAATGTCTTCGAAGTAGTGTGTTTTCGACGTGATTCTTATCGTGCTTAGAGCGAAGTGGCACATACATAATGAGCTCAACCTCTCTCATTATTCTCATCAAGTTGTACAGCGACATTCATCATGATCATTACTAGGTATGATGGTCTTTGTATCACCTGCGACCAACATTTGACAGCCGCTAATCAATTGCCCTTCACTTTAACCAAGACCAAATGACGTGCGCAATGAAACATTTGATGGCCCTGTCGATCAGAAGCCACAAACGCCGCGCCCGTTTGACAGAAAGACAAGAAGCGCGCTACAGTTGCACAGGGTGGGAAACGGGCTTTTTATGTCTCTCGATTGAGAAGTTGTGAGACGGGACACGAATATGAGACCTGCGTACGCAATCAACTACACGACAAGTTTTTTTCATGTCGCTGTTACTGGATCAACTTGACAACGAGACTTGGCATGTGTTTCTTATAAATAGGTCTCCATTCACATGATTCTCATACGATTGAAATGTCTTGTCGTGCTTGGAAGTGGGAAATATCATCAAATGGCCTTTTATATCGACACAGCTTTAGTTATATGGCAACAAACCCGTAGCCCTTGCACCAATTCGCAGCAAGGGTCCCATCCCAAGCATTTGATCAACAGGGAGGCTTAACAACAAAATAACCACCATGAACCTATCTTTAGTCACCCTCTCACAGCATATGCATTCCAGTCCGAGGCCGGTGGGATGAGGCTTCAAGCTCATGCCAAGGCCGCCACTCCCGGTAACGGTTGAAACGGACAATGACGGCTTTGCAATGTCTAAACATTCCTGTCAGCTGTAGGGCCTCATTAATAGATGGGTGTGTAGATAACACATTATTGAGACGAGACGACGTCAGGGAACTGATGGGTCAACTCATCTCAACTTTCTGTAAGATGAGAAGGGAACCTGGTATGACAAGGACATGTAGACAAGCAAGTCCAAAACAGAGCAGAATAAACAGATGAATTGTTTCCTCTGTACGTACAAAGAACCTGATCTGCAATATAGGTTAGATTAACCAAGTACCGCCCTAAAAGCATATGCAAGCAGGGTTACATCCTGGTAGTTTCATCCTACGAAAATCTTCATGTCGATACGAACAAACTAGCGATAAAATCACTCAGAATTCAATGCCAAGTATAGTTCAGTGTTAAAAAGAAATGGGTATTGTAGCAATAACACTAGTTGACAGGAATCTCTTGGGAAAACAAAAGCTGGGTCATATGTCTATTAGACGTAGCGGCGAAGGAACACATGGCAGCTACATCAGGGGAACTTGATCGAGACAAATAACCCAAGTGGGTTTTATAGTTTTTCCTCAATACATTAACAATCCAGAAAACCTTCCAACTCGTAGATACCAACAAAAGAAGCAACGTATGTGCGCCAAGGCCTGATATACCCAGACTGCTCCATACCTGAAGAAACGAGAAACCCTCTAAAAATGCAGTCATGAAGTCATGACGCCACGCAGGAACCAAAGATTAAATTGGTGCGCGGCCTCGCTTACAGAGCGAAAGCGGCCATGACGAGACCAGCAACAACGGCAATGGGAGCGCCGAAGCGGGCAGCACCAGAGACGGGGACGGGAGTAGGGGTGGGCTGGCCGTAGACGGGAGGCTGACCAGCAGGCTGAGTGGGAACAACAGGAGGCTGAGCAGGGTGGGTGTAGACGGGAGGGTTGGGAGCAGTGCCGTTGTTGGCAGGGGGAGCAGGAGGAGCAGGGTAGTGGGTCTTGACAACGGGGACGAAAGTGGTGGGAGAACCAGCAGTGTTGTTGCAAGGGACGGTGACGGTCTCGGAAACAGCAACGACGGTGGTCTCAGGGACGGGGTAAGCGGGCTTGGTGGGCTTAGGGGCGACGGAGGAGGGGACCTCGTAGTCGTTCTTGGTCTGAGAGGGCTTGTCCTCGGACTTCTTGGCACCCTCAATCTTGAAGGGGAAAGAGTACTGGAAAACCTCGGGGTTGCTCTCGAGCTTGAGGACGAGACCGTAGACGTTCTCGGTTCCGAGGGTGGAGTCAATGGCCCAGCTGTAGGAAGCAGCGTCGTTGTCAATGCCAGCTGAGAGGCTTGTTAGCAAAACTGATCGAATGTCCTGCCGTCTTCGTCTCTACTCACTGGCGATGGTCTTGATGGGGACCTGGGTGTTCTGGGTAGCACCACCGATCAGAGAGATGGAGATCTTCTCGCCGGAGTACTTGGGCTTAGCTTGCCAGGTGATCTCGAGGGTCTTGCCAGCGGAGACCTCCTCCCAGTTGGTTGGAGTGAGAACGGGGTCGAAGTCGGCGACCTGGGCGAGGGCCTTGGCGGCGAAGGCCATGAGGGCAGCGGCGGAGATGGTGAACTGCATCTTGAAGGCTGGATTTAGGAATTACGGTATATAGTAATTGTATCGAAGGAAAAGAGGGACGGGGTTGGATGATAAGAAGCTGTAAAGCAACCTAAAATTATTAAGTATAAAAAAGAGTGTGGTAGGCTGAAAGCCGAAAAGAGTGACTGGTATGAGGGTGGTGGTGAAGAGAGAGAGAAAAAACGAGAAGAAGCAGAGGATCAAGCTGGGGTTTTGTGATAAATGCCAGAGGGGGACTGGGTGTGCCATCAGAGCAGGACAGGGGTGGGGATTCGCGGTACGTACCCCCAAGACACCTTCCAGAGTTCCCAGGTTGGGCCAACCCCTGCGGGACCATTGAGCGCCGAGGGGGACGCTAGTGCAGGTACCATGCTGGCCCTCCACTGGGATGACCTTTGTGTGCCTGAGATATCCACCACACCTTCCAGCCCAGCCCGTGCCTTACAGGACTTAGCTTCACCTGGCTGTTCCTGCGTCGGCGCTTGTAGCGTTGCACGGCGTTGACAACTCAGGACACACAGAAGGCAACCAAAAGCACAGCCAATATTTGGGGGCCTCCCCACAAAACACTGTTGGTCGGTGAAGGCGCGTGTTCAACGGCTAGAAGAACTAGTCCAGGGGCAGGCTCTAAAGTCGGCGCGACAGGGCATTGAATCTTAAGACTCACAGACAATGCGGCTCGCTAATTGGCAGTGTTTGTCAATGCACCCCTGAACAGCCCTTCCTACTGCGCACCAGTCACAGAAACTGCACTGAAATCCTTTGGAAGCGAATCTCGAGGATCCTTCTCCCACAGGTCTCTGGGCAATCCGGTCCAGACCGATCACGGTTAGCAGTTCATCTACCACAAGAATTAGTCAGGGGAATCCTCCAATGGATTGCCACAATGATACGCCATCGAGTTGTCCCATGAACACCCATATCAGAATGTCCGTGGTTTATTTCCTCTGGTGACCGATTGCGAATCTGGATCTGGAGCAATCTCTGCTAACATGTCTCTGGCCATGCCATGCCATGTCTTGTCCGTTCCGTCTTCCCGTCTCAATCGCTAATTGGTATGCGGATCTTTAGATGGCCCTGCTGTGGACTGTCTGAACAGATCGGACCATGAGGCCGAGATAATACCTGGGATCAGCATTGCTGCATTTGCTGTACTGCAGCAAATACACCCGCGCACTTGTTCCTGTAGGCAAACATCCCCTTGTCAGTATTCGTCTGAAAAGATGGGATGTAATTAAACTCGAGTGGGTGAGGTTCTGTCGATTGGCTACAGGCTGGGGCGTACATGTCGGCGATTCGGAGACCCCTGCTTGGCATTGGATTAGGCCGCCTGTTGGTTCTCTTCCAACTCCTTTCCTGTCGCTGACGGACACTGACTGATCTTTTTTGCCGACTCATGACCCATGTTCAATACTCATCGAGACCTCTTCCTAACAAGATTACCTAGGATTTCCAACTCCAGGGTCTCAGGGATGCTAAGCCGGTTTCCGGGCCTGATCGCCGTGCCCCGAGATGATATGGCTATTCTTGTCTCTAGTTATCGTCGCTTGCAGGCGTGGCAATCGAGACTCTTTTCAGTGCATTCGCTTGCTGTCTTTCTTGACTTGTTGTCTTGCATTCCAGCTCTTGGCAGGTTTGGAACGGCATCTGTGCTTTTTCCCTGCTTTTTCTTGTGCGACATTTTACCTCAGCGTCAAAACCGTCTTGCAACGTCGGAAGCAGAACAGGGCAAACAATTGAATCTGACAGGGCAAGGACAAGATCCTATCCGAAACAGGCGTTCTGTCTTCGGATAATACTGCTGCTGGAAATTCTATGGAATCTCTTGGCCCTGGTATAGAGTTGCAGATGAAACGCCCCAGCTAAACTCTGAGCCGGGTTGACAACTCCCTCATAAATCGCATTGTATTGGCTATAAACAAGGCTCTGTTTCCACAGCCTGCTATACTGGACTACTTACCGAATGGGGGAGTCCCCGAACATGTTCAGCGGATGAGTTAGAGTTCCGTATAAGCTCCTATGTGAAACTCTACTCTAGTATTCATCAAGCTTGATGCTGGTTGATATCTCAATGCAGCTTGCCTAGCTAAGTGTTGATCAGCGAACAATTTCCCATAGGCTTACAGTAAGATTTGAATAGTCTGCCACACCAAATAGTTTGCATGCCGTTTCTTTCAATGAACTGGGCTTGCTGAAGAAGCAATTGTCTCCAGGCCCTGTGTAGCCGCTGTGGCTCTCGTAGGGCTGCTTGTTCCTGTGCTGGCTTGGCATGGACCTCTTGATAGGTATCAAATAGGCGAGTTCGGCGCACACCGGCTCCAGTGACTAACAAGAGCCTGCTGGTATACCTAAACCCTCGATACTAGGTGGTATGTGCTGCTTGACGATCGTTTGTGACGTTGAAGTCAAAGGAAATTGAACCGTTGAAACGATCACGGGGCATTATGGCACCATTTCCGATCTGCCGGCATTGTTGTTGGCGATGGTTCACGGAGTAATTTAGCTGCTCGGCTCGAGCACACGACCAAGTACCAACAGGTCTCTGCATGAGAAACAAACATGCCCTAAAGACAGGATGATTAATTCATCTATGCGAGATCGCTTCGGTGAGAGTTCCATAGCCGAGTCACAACTCCCAGCACAACACTCCGATGCAACTCTCTCATCCAGTGATTTCAGTCACTCCAGCCGCTTCAAGCTCAATAATCCCCTCATGGCCAATGCGTTCCTAGCCCCATGAAGAATATGGGTCAACTCATCTGCTGGCCCCTTGTGCAAGGACCCTCGCCCACTCCGCTTCGATAATGCGCTGACGCCAGAACCTTTTGACTGCTGGCTGCTGACTCCATCCACCAATGGAACCGATAGCTACGCCGCATCTAATCTGCGATACTCCTGGAAGCTTTGCCTCGAAAATGGACGGTGAGTCCCAATTCAGCAGGCACGAGAATGACGTGCTGTAAGAGGTGTGTGCTAAAGAGCACCTTGTGGAAGCCTTACAGGCTGCAGGCCTAGGTAAGTTCCAATAGTCTGTTGCAGTTGAAGAACAAATTAGAGGGCCAAAGAGATCACCCCGATCTTTTAGAACGTCCCTGAATCACCTATCAACATCTCAACACACAATGTCAACTAAATGCAATTAAATCAAGCAATTTTCAACGAATCAAATGCAGACGCCAGAACCACACTTGGTCAAACGGTTGGCAGAACGGCGTTGACTCCAAACAGCCACAGCTGAGCAGTAGCGCTGGCGACAACCATAGCGTCACCTCCACTCCATGTCACTACAGACGGTATGCTTAACGCTTAATAGCAGCTCCCTATCTTGGCTAACGGAGGTTACTTACGCCACATTGCACTATTATTACTAAATTGCACCAGCAGTTTGGGTAACTTTACTGGCACGTTTCCAGAAATTGTTCCGACTGGTGGCCAAGACCTAAGATTGCTTAGATCGCGATGCCCAGAGCGCCTCTGTGCGATCAGATCGATGTTTTCGATATTGAAGAAGCCTTCACGTGAGAATGAAAAACTCGAAATAGACGGAATGGTCGAATTATGCCACCGGAATGTTGGCAAGTCTATGAGTAACTGTCTCACAGCCATGTCGGTCGCGGAATGTCTGATAGCTTGGCTGCTTGGCATGGATTTGCACTCAGGTTACGAAACTGACACACAAGGGATGACTTCAACAGAGACAACACTGGGAATAAGCAAAAAACCTACGATAGTCCCCAATCGCTAGTTTCAGCCGCGACAATAAATTAGTACTGAATCAGTTTGAATGTAATTCATGCCGCAGACAGAGTAGCCCACTATTGTAAGACCAGATCCTTCTATTTCCAAGACTGAGTCAAAACAAACAAAAGGGGACACTTCAGAGACGCCACGGGTTGTTTTTTTCATGGTAAACGGCGCGGCACGCGATCAATGGCCTAAATTGAACCGAAAGTAGTGGCTGCAGGTTCAATATGCCCCTTTCACAGAAACCAAGATCTGACCAATGCATCTCGACATCGAGACTCTTGACCGCTTCCAATAGCATGTAAAAAGTTAGATCCTGGCGCTCTTATTGCCTATACAGTCACCGGCAGCTGCAGCTGAACCGGTCTAGACACTGCGCTCCATGGTAAAGGGGTTCAGCACTCGATTCAGCACGGCACAATGGAAAATACACAATGCACCGAAATGTCGCAGATTGGACGCCTTGGCTGAACTACCGGACGCCCTCTCGCCCCGGTCTCAAAGACAACGATACCGAAAGCTTCTTTCTAACCGTACCAACGAGGTTATCATCTCTTACTGTATCGCCAGGGTTAAAACTCAAGGTTCTGTCAGACAATCAGGGTCTACCTGACATGCTAGGGGAGGCAATAAAACTCAAGACTTTAGTTCTGGATAAAAAACGATTTTGGTAAGATTTAGGTAAGTTGGCTTAAATTTAGGGGTCTCTCGACTCTCTTTGATGAGTTTATCTTGGCAACCTCCTCTGCAGTCTGAAGTTTTATTGCTCCCTCGAGGCTTGTTACAGCTTAGGGCGATATGGGCATCCTGAAGCATCCACTGTCAGCGCCCCAACTGCTAAACTTTACCCCCAAACTTGAGTCTTGAACCATCGATTGCCTCAATGACATCAACTGCCGAAAACATGCCTCTTTGTGATTGGGTTCCCCGGAGATGAGAACCTCAGGATTGCCCAAGTTGGAAGTTGATTGCTTCACTCCACAAACCAAATGATTTTCCTCCCCCCATTTCCCCAAACTATGGTAGTTTCCGGATCTTCAGGAGTGGCTTTTCGAGCTGACCAATAACAGCGTGTCAGTTAGTTGCACTCCTCGAATCACTGACGGTATAATTTTAGGAAGTGCAATTTCATGCAATGCTACCTTCAAAGTTTGATCAGTGTTCATTTTATGCGCCGACTCATGTAAGATTAGTCCCTATTTTTAGTTGCATTAATCTTATGTTCTTTGTTCTGTTCTTTGTCACATTTGTTTGTGCATTCATTGGGTGACGTCTTTCAGCCTCGTGCCCCACCTCCAAGCATTCAATCTCCCCTCGAGCGCCAAACTCGTCAGCCTTGTCCCGACTACCTTCCACCCTTGACCTAGCATCATCGAAGAATCAGCCGCATTTTCACGTTGCAATGGCCTCTGAAGACGATCGCCCCAGTGATTCGCCCCGGAATAAGCGTCGCAAAACAAGCGGCGACTCTTCCCCTCCTTACGCGCCGCAACGCGACGCCGAAGACAACGATCGATCGCCTAGACAGTCTCGCCAACTATCGATACGAGACAATCGCCGTAATAGCAGGACTATTAGCCCAAGTCCTGGTGAAGATGGTGCTGGAAACAAATATTACGAAAGCCGTCGTACATCACGATCGAGATCACGGTTGAGGTCACGGTCTCTCTCTAGTATAGATTCCCGTAGACGCTCGCGCTCGCGATCCCGATTAACAACACGGTCACAATCACCCCGCTCTTCACGGTCACGGTCACGATCGCAACTCTCTTTTCGTCGCTCCCGAACAGACTCCCTCTCCGCGCGGGGGGCTGAACCAACTCCTCCTCCAGAACCTTTCAAGCCCAACTACCGTGCCCGTCTCGTTCTTCATGGTCACACCAAGCCTGTCTCTCAGGTCCGAATATCACCTAATGGAAAATTCATCGCATCTGCATCGGCAGATGCTACTATCAAGATATGGGACGCTACAACGGGCGAACACATGGATACGCTCGTTGGACACATGGCAGGCGTGAGCTGTCTTGCTTGGACACCTGATAGCAACACCATCGCAAGTGGCTCAGACGACAAGGCTATTCGTTTATGGGATCGCGTTACAGGCCGGCCAAAGACCACAACTCGAAAATCGGTAGCCGGTCAAGAAATGGGGCCGTTGAAGGGTCATCATAACTACATCCACTGTTTGGCATTCTCGCCAAAGGGCAACATCCTTGCAAGTGGTTCATACGATGAAGCTGTGTTTCTGTGGGACGTAAGAGCGGGCAGGCAGATGCGAAGTTTACCTGCGCATAGTGATCCCGTCAGTGGGATTGACTTTTCTCGAGATGGCACGCTGGTCGTCAGTTGCTCGACAGATGGTTTGATGTATGGACTCTTGGAGCTTCAACTGGTTCATTTTGCTAACAAGTACATAGTCGTATTTGGGATACATCAACAGGCCAGTGCTTACGCACCCTTGTTCATGAAGACAATCCGGCTGTCGCCAATGTTTGCTTCTCCCCCAACGGACGCTTCGTCCTGGCTTTCAACCTAGACAACTGCATTCGCCTATGGGATTATGTTTCTGGTACCGTCAAAAAGACATATCAAGGCCACATCAACGAGAAGTTCGCTGTGGGTGGCTGTTTCGGAGTTCTGGACGGAGCTCCTTTTATCGCATCTGCTAGCGAGGATGGCAGCATCGTCATGTGGGACGTAGTATCAAAGACGGTATTGCAAAGAGTGGAAGGCCACAAGGGCGTGTGTTTCTGGGTGGATGTCCATGGAGAGACGATGGTGACCGGAGGGCAGGACAACACAGTCAAGGTATATCGACATTTCAGAGATGCAAACAAGGTGAACGGTGATACCGAAAAGGTGGGCAAGGAGCCACAAGCTGAGGGGTCACTGGCGCAACAAGACGTGGCCATGGAAGGGATATGAATGATACCATGGAACAGCGTGAGCGCAGGTCGTTACATATACCGTGAAAGTAGTATAAGCTATTCTGAGGATTTAGAATTTTGAGACACGTTTTAGATCAATTCCTCTGAATTGGTTCTACACTGAGTTCACCTAAAACCCCAGAGCAAGCAAGATTTAACTTGCACGAAGCGCCTAAAATCTTTCACTCACAATTCTTGGATGTCTAGCCATCCTTCATATCTCCATATCAAGAATTCCCAGAACCCAGCCGCCCTAACGAAACTGGACATCGACGTTGTGAGCACCGACGCGTTTGCCCTTGTAATAAACAGTAAAGTCTACGATCCCATACTCGCAGGTCATCTCGATTGCATAGCTGAGTTTCTGATAGACCTTTCCCAGAGGGTTGGTCCATGTTGGAAGAGATTCAAGGCTGATGTTGCGTGTCCAGCGGATTTCACATAGTTCCTCCACGGCCTATCCGGAAGACTTGGGGGGAGGGAACTCAGAACAGATGTAGATGGTCTCAGAGACATGTCCAATGCGTTGAGAGTACAGTCGGTGGTAGTTATGTCGGACTGGCTTCTTAGTCAACATATTGTCGCCCTATCACTAAAGTCAGAATGTCATTCTATCAAGTGACACCACGTTACTTACCTCCCGCAGAAACTATTGCATCTGGTTGCTGGCACGCCATTTCTGATGTTCTTCCGACCAATATTTGTCGCTTAGTCGGTGCTTCTGCGGATCAAAGCCGGTATGGAACATCACTCCATAGCTGTTTCGAGCTACCCGTGCGCCTACTGTCACACCTAGAGTTGCTGAGAGGCCGTGGTTTGTAATGCCGTGAACTACAGCACCACGGCAGATAGCTGACCATCTATTCTCACTGGTTAAAAAAATTCCGCAAACTTTTTGAAATTTCTTACGGCTTGTTCCCGCGCGACTGTAGAACTGTGCTCTCAAAAAAGGCAGACTGAAGCTTGCTGTACAGATAGGAGCTACGACCGAAGCCACCGACAAGAATGATGTACTATTTATGTCAGCCTGCTGTAGTTCTGCCTGGATTATCTTTGTTTTGTTACCTTTGCTGACTTCCCAAGCTTTGACTTAACAGCCTGGGTTTGTCGGCGTATAAGGGCCTCGATCTTGTCGACGATGGGGGTGTATGCAGACAGAATGTCGCTTCTGTAAGGAGTGAGGAAATATTCAAAACAAACACTTGGCGCTGATGTAACTTACGAGCTAAGTTCAAGCGTCTTTCGTCGTTTGAGCTTTCTGCCGGAGCTCGCGACATCGCAACTATCAGGAAGGTCGACAATCCAGTCCCTGTTCTGGTTAGAGAATTGAGGCTTAATTCCATGCTCCCAACACTCGTTCAAGAACTTCTTCTCCTCGGCCGAGGTGACGTTATCCCATGACCCAGGTGCGAGCTTTCGTTTGATGAGTTTCAGAAACTGTTCGTCGAGAAACACGCCTCCGCAGAGTCCCCCTAAGAGGTGAGTTGGTGTCTGTTCATTCCCCTTGATGAGAACCTACCGTCGCCCTTGACACACTCCTTTACCACAAATGGGGAGATTGATTCGATTTGATAGCTGATGAGATCCTGCAGCATGTTAGGGTCCTGGGCAGCGTAGGACAAGTCAATTCGAGCTTACCACGGTTCCACCTCCAGCATCGCAAATGACCATAGCATCCCCAACCTGTCTATAGTCAGCTCGGTCTCTTATTAATTCTTCTTTGCGAGTTTACCTTTATTGTCGACCTTTTGGAGAGATCCTTGATTGTAGCTAGGGCTGCTGCCTCCGGCTCTGAGATGAAACGTAGTTTTGTCTCGCCACATGATCGAGCATCAAGAATGCCTGAGGTTTTGGCCGCCTGCTTCATGCGCTGTTGGGCGTAGGGGGGCCAGATTGCAGGCAGCGTAATCACAACATGAAATGGTGACTTTTGCAACAGTTCAGCCCCAACAGTTCGTTGGATAGAGTCAATTGCATGATTCCAGATTTTTCGCAAATAGCATGCGATGACCTCCACTGGGTCCTTCCTCATCTTATCCAGAAGTTTCTGGGCACAACGCATCTGGGAGGACTTTGAAACCATGATGGGAACATCGTCGCTATCAAGCAATAGAAGCTTGAACCACTTCAGGGCATCCTCACTGGCGGGGATAGAGTATCCCCAGGACGTGCCTTTCTTGTCGTCGTAGAGCAACTGAGTTGGGGCTTTCTCAACGTCGGAACAGTTGTTAAACTCAGAGTCCCAGCTTGTGACAAGTTCGATCTCTTCCGGTTCTCGGGAATACGCCCAAGCAATCCCCGAGTACCTAGAGGATTTTTCTTGTTAGCGATGCCAGTTGCTTGAACCGGCTCATCAGTGGCAGGGGACACTTGTGAGAGGAGAGCAGGCAGAACTCACGTTGTCCCAAAGTCGAGGCCAATGATGATGAAATCATCGACTGGCTCGTTACCCGTCATCTCGGGTGATTCTCAGCAATAGAGAAGTGTCTCAAGCTCTGTACTGTTGAGGGCGGTGTTGCGATCGGCGGTTGGCAAGCAAATATGTTATCAGAGATGAGCCGTCAGCTTCTCGACCTAGAGATGAAAGGAGGAAGAAGTAGAGAAGTAAAATTAGAGAGCCAAGGAATAAATAGAGCCATTGCTTCTCCGAAATTCTGAAAGTCAAACAGCAGGGCTTCGGGCAGAGTGATTCACCGTGGCTGCGATGCCAATCACACGCACTTGGTGATTCTCGTCCTTGCTAACAGGTTTCTGACAACGTAATAAAAACACCTCCTGTGAGCTCGCATGTTTCCTTCTCTTTTTCTTTTCTCTTACTCCACCTCCTGGCATATTTATCTGCTCTCTTGGATCCGGGGCATGAGTGTCTTCCTTCCACTGACAGACTTTACATGATCAGGGATCTTCGAACCAGATCATCTCAAGTCCTTCACTCCCCAGATAACTTTATTCCTCAACTCGATCATTCGTCGTCGCCTATTACTCCCAAGATACTCTCGTTAGTTATTGATCCATGGGCAATGCTTTCCTGGACATACCCTATCCTCCCGCTTTCCTAGACACGGTATATACTTACTACTAAGGTATTCTAGATATTGACTGCAAAGGTACCTCACGGGTTCTCCTTCTTACTTATACACCAGCTACGAATCATGGAGGCTCAGGGCCCGAGCCAAAAGCCAGGGTTCCCTCTTAATCTCGAAACTGAAGTGTCTGGACCTCTTAACACCATCATGGACCAGAGTACTCCTCTTACAAAACTTGAGGAAGATTATAATGATCTCTTGGGCAGGATCCCGAAGTTTCCTGCTTTTTCTGATCTCCCAATTGGCTCTGAATTCCAAGACAAACCTCAAAACCACCCAGTTCCCATGCAGTCCAACACTACACCAGAAGACTGGACTCTAGGGGAGATCTTCGGGGCTCAGCAAGAGAATTATAATGCGTTCCTTGACAATTATCGTGTTGTTTCTTCGGAAGAAAGATCAAACCTAGCTCAAGTGGTACAGACTGAGGTACAGAACGGTATGGATCGGGTATTCAACTACGTCAAGAGCTTCATTCCTCAGCCAGCTCAGGCTTCAACTACCTCGACAACCACAGAACTTCGCGCTCAGCTGAAGAAGGAGAAAAATTACGTACAGAAGCTCTCTGGTGATTACAATAACCTACTTCAGCACTCCCATAAACAAAAGCAAGATCTCGAGAAAGTAAACGCCAGACTTGATGGTGTCCTTCGTGAGAGAGACCAGCTACGCCAGCTTCTGGAGGGCGGTTCTCTGGCAAACTCTGACAAAGCAACCGATGATTCAATTCGAGGCAAATGGAAGGAGCTCGCTTACAATATTCGCTGTCTGGCTCGCCACCTGGCCCACGATCCGCCTCGGCAGCAACTTGACGACATCGCTAGAGAACGGCTACGATTTATCGCCGGAGACTGTTACACACTTCTCAAAGATGAAGATTACCGGGAGCTTATTATTATGAGCTACCTATGGGTCACTGTCCAAGACGACGTGTTCGACGCCAGACAGATCATTTGGGGTGGGCCTGATTTGAAGTCATTCAAGGCTGTTCGTGATCGCATTATCTGTGAGTATATGCTATGTACTTTCCTTTATGGCATCGCTAACCCGCAAAGCTCGTGTTGGAGGTGGGATTAATATTCCCAACTGTGATGACCCCATCGCTCATGCTGCACGGTGGTTGGCCCAAGGCTCGGTAATGATGTGCAACCTTTGGGAGAGAGATGATCGCGGCATCAGACGTCTCGTACTCGCAGAAGCCAAGCGTCTAAAGCCATTTCATCCAACTCACCAGTCAACGGCAGACAGATGTGATAGGAAGGTTGTTGATCAACTAAGAGAGATTCTGGGCTCAGCAATCGAACTTGACCAGATGATGATGCGCTCCAAAGCAATTTTTCAAATTCACTGGCGAGATGAATCCCAGAGTCCGAGTACTGCTGAGATGTGGAATGAAGATGTCATGGATTCAGAAGCCTCTACGAAGATCTTGTCCCCTAAAAGTCGTGTCATATTCTTCATCTCACCAATTGTCTACAAGGCTGGCACCGCTGATGGACAAAGGTACAATTCTCGGATGGTGTTGGCCAAGGCTTCTGTCGTCTGCAACTGACCCTGCGTCGTTACTTACTCGCAACAAGTGAGAAAATATTCGGATGGCTACTTGCGTTATGGGAGAAAAGCAGTGAGAAGAAGAACAGTAAGGAAGGAAAGGGAGCAGCAATGAATCCATTGCGGATGATATTTACACCTTCCATGTTGTCTACCCCTTTTGGTACAGGATTCGGAGAGCTTTGTCGTGCCCTAATCACTTCTAACAATTCGTTCAGATCATCACAGACAGGTACAGATAACAGATTGAGAAATTGCAACTTGCACGTTTTTACAATACATATTGAGTTTCCAAATTTTGGCGTATGAATGAATAGGAGTTGAAGGGAAATACAAGCGTAAGGTCATATTAGAGCATCACGACGAAGAGTAACAGTATCGAATCTTTTCATAACATCTTAGACTTTTAACTCGAACAAATAGAAGCGAAGTACATAAAAGAAGTATCATCCATCATACTCCCTCCCTCTAGATTAACAGTATTGACCACTGTCCCGTATCCTAGCCATTCCATGTATACATTTATGTCACACTCTTCCGAAACCCCAATTAGGTATTAAATAAAATCCACTAACTCCAAATCCAAAAATGCTGTCTGTACAAAGGAGCTATGTCGTCGAAGTATTATCGTTGCTGACTCAAGCGCTGAGTCCCAGCCCAATCTTGACAGCCGCACCTAATCCGCCTTGTCGTGGTTGCTCGTAGTCGGCTCCAGTTGGTGTGGGATAGGGCGTCTCAGTAGCACTCGTCGTGGGAGTCTCGGTCTCAGTCTCGTAGATGGTTGTATCCAGGGTACTGGTAATGTCCTCAGATGCTGGGTAAGTTGGGATCACAGGGGGAACCTCTGAGCTGCTGATCGTGCTCTCAGCAGTGGAAAGAACGGTGGTATCCTGATATGTTGTCGAGATCACAGGAGGGATTGTGGAGTTGGTTGGGATGGAAACGGTAGAGTACTCAGAAGACTCGCTGCTGACAGCGGGGTCAGTGTAGACAGGCGGTGTGTAGACGGGGCTATCATCAGAGCTGGCGGAAGTTGGGATGATAGGGTCAACGGTTGAGGAATTTCCAGGGACCGAGTATGCGGGCTTGGTGTAGACTGGTGGGGTATAGACGGCCTCGTCACTAGTTGTCGGGATGACTGGTGGCACAACGGTTGACGAGTTGCTGGGCTGAGAGTAGACCGGCTTAGTGTAAACAGGAGGCGTGTACGTAGGGGTCTCTACAGGCTTCGTGTAGACAGGAGGATCAACGGTGGATGAATTGCCAGGGATGATAGGCTGAGAGTACGCTGGCTTGGTATAGACCGGAGGCGTGTAGACGGGGCTATCGACGGGCTTGGTATAAGTGGGAGTATCATAAGTCGAAGAGTTGCCAGGCAAGATGGGCTTGGTGTAGACAGGAGCAGAGTAGCTGGGAGTCTCAACAGGCTTTGTGTACACAGGAGGGTCAACAACCGAGGAGTTGCCAGGAAGAACAGGCTTCGTGTAAACAGGAGCCGAGTAGGTCGGTGTGTCCACAGGCTTGGTGTACACAGGGACTGATCCGTTACCAGAAGCAACCGAATAGGCAGGCTTGGTATACACAGGAGGGACATAGCCTGATTGTGTGCCAGTGGAGTTACCATAAGTAGGGTCCGAGTACACAGGCTTGGTATAGACCGGCTTAGTGTAAACAGGAGGAGAGACGTAGCCATCGGCAGTGCTGTAGACTGCACTCTGGCCCGGAGTTTGGTAACCGGTGTGCGTAGAGGCAGAGTATCCAATAGTGGAGTTCATGTAAGGATAGTCGTTCTTGGTCTGAGAAGGCGTCGCATAGGTTGAGTTGGCAGGGTAGGGAGATCCAGTGTTCTGCTCGCCGTATGGCATGGTAGAAGCATACTTGCTAGGAGGCACGTAGATGGTGTTGCTGATAGTCAAGGTCTTGGTGCAGTCATGGCAGACAGCAGTGGTGTAGTAAGATCCATTGGAAGAAGCAGTGACGGTGACAGTGACATCGACAGTCTTGGTAGAGACAAACACGTAGTTAGAAGGACATTGGATGCTTGGCTCAAGAGTTGTCGAGTGAGTTGTCGGTGTAGTTGTGTTCTTGGTGGCCGTGTAAGTGTTGGCAGGAGTGTATGTGTTCACGGGTGTATAGCTGGGAGGATCGTAGGCGTTTCCGTTGGGAAATCGAGCAACTCGACGCTGCTGGAACTGTGAACGGTTAGATTTATGTTTACTACCGTAAGTGATGGAGCTCGTACAGAACTGAACCAAGAACCTCGGGGAGCAGCTTCAACCACCGTGCCCAGAAGGCCAACGGCACCAACAATTGCAGGCAGACGCATCTTTTAGATCGAAACTCGATGAGTATTGAAGACAACAATGAGAGCAGCCAAGAGAACGTGAGGCTGTTTGTGAGAGTGGAAGCGATGCTGAGTCTGGTGGTGAGATATTCATTTCTGGGACGCATCCCATCATCCTTAAGTACGGCTTCATTTTCCCAAGGGTTTTTCTGAAGGAGTTGCGTATAAGTCAAAGGGTAGAAATATTGAAGCTGAATATTGAACAAATTGATGTCAGAAAGGGTGCTATATTGAAAGAGGGATGTTTGCTGAATACAGAAGGGCGGCGTTTTTGGTGGTGAAGCGGGGACACTTTATCGATTCAAGGGAGTTCGCACCAACCAAACAGCCTCGATCTTGACGGGACAATAGGGACAAAGGGCGGAAGAAGCAATTGATTTGTCGAGAAGGCCAGGGAATCAAAGACATTTATGAGTATTTCATTGCCGATCATGCCCCTAGAGCGCAACAGCGACAACCTTATTGCTCGACAACTTGACATGAGACAAATTCAAGGCAAACGTGGGATTGATAGTAATAGTAATAATTCATTGTTCATATGTCGTCGGTTCGATAAAGGGCGATTTATTCATCTCGCGCGCATTTGACTCTTCACAAGTTGCAGAACCACGTTGCCAATCAATAAGTTAAACAGCCATAAGACAACAAGTGAGTCCAATCAAGATAACAGAAAGTGCACGCGATTCGCCTCATGGTAAAGTACAAGTGTGCCCTTCACAGCCAACTCAACTGGCGTGATCTGTGGGTATAGTATCATTGTGTGTCAATCATAGTGTGTGTGTGTGCGTGGTTCTTCCTGTCGAACAGTCCATACGTGCAGGAATGGGTATCAAGAGGGCCACGCAATCGCCGTCGTGCCCTTTGTAAAAAGCTAACAAGAAACCAACAATAAAAAACCATATGCTTATGCCGCAAAAATCATCAATAACCTGCCGCCCCGCGATGCAATCATGTAAAATCGAGCATTGTCCCAGGCTAGCTCGAGTCAGGTCCGTCATACGCCGTGGCCCCTCTTGAGATATTTCATGTCAATCGTTCATCTGGTTCTGGCTCTGCCTCGGCATTGCGCCGATCAGTCCTCCCAGATGGTCTCAAGATCGAGATCTCCTCTTCGCTCAGCACCGCACACACTCCAACGCTTTCGCTTGTCTCTAGAGCCGAAGCCCATCGTACGCCCTCGTGTCTGCCCATCCTTCCCTTTCAGGTCGGAGGATTCATTTCCCTCTGCAGCATCTGCGTCGGCCTTGAGCTGGGCAATTCTTTCAGCTTCCAGCGCTGCTTCTTCGGCATCAGGCGTGTCAGGAATTGTTTCCAAGCTGGAGATGCTGGGACTTCGGGACCTGGTCGACGTTGGCGTGGAGGGGACCGACGAATAAGTTGTGCCATAGCTTCCGGAAAGGGCATCGTAGCTTCGATAAGAGGATGTTGACGAAATTGAAGAGGATGGTGTTGATGGAAATGTGCCTAGAGAACCAGTGCTCGAAGATGTGAATGTTCGAAGAGGAGAAGATGGCCGTCGTAGTCGGGCGGGGGTGCTTGTGGAAACCCCCATGATGGGAGAGGTGCTTCGTCGCTCATGCATTTGCTCAGGTTCGAGAACTGAGGTTCGAACTGGAGAGATTGGCGGGAAAGCTTCATCGGCAGGCTTTCGTGGAATTCGGACTCTGCTAGGTGAACCAGAGGGGCTTCCAGGGCGGTGCTGAGGCGAAAAAAGAATATGGCCTGATCCATTGACGCCAGGCATGGATTGAGTACGAGACATTGGGGGCGCAAGACTCGTTGTAGAACGAGACCTAGAATGAGCGCCCGAGAGCGGAGAAGTGGTGCGTGGTCGATACGGAATGAAGGGTGTCGCAGACCAAGATGGTGAAGCTGGCGATGTCGGACTGGGGTCGGTGCTTCGTCTCAGGTTTGGCGGCTTTCGAGGCAATTCGATGCTGAGGTTGGAAAAGGCGCTGGGGTTCTGAAGTCGCAGCGATGGATATCCTGGAGAGAGGGAGGGTGACGCAGACAAAGATGAGGAAGCAGAGGCAGAGGCAGATACGGGTGCGGGAGCAGGTGTAGGAGTAGGACGGAACTCCTCCATACGCTCTGTCTCGGGAACTGGCTCCATTTCGAAATTGGTAATCGAGGGTGGAGGCAGGATACGATACGATACAATGTGATACAGTACGGCACGGCACGGATGGAAGTTGAGACCAACCGGTTTCGTCAGAAGATAAACGGTGGCATGTGGTGCCCGAAACTTGAACGAGCCTTGGCCGACGAGCAATGGCGTGGATTTCTGGGGGATTTATTCGACCCGGTAGTAATGATCGTCAGCGGCGGTCCTACGAAGCTCTGCCGGCGGCTGCAAGTTCGGGTTGCTTTTGACAAGAGGCGCAGCAATAGGGCGTGAAGCAATCACAAGCTGGCGACAGAGTGCGGTATTGAATTCAGCGCGGCAGAAAGGCGGGGGTGGATCAAGATTTGAGATAGATCCGAGGTGATATGGACGGCTTTTTGTTGTAGGTGGAGAGGCTATACTTTGTAGCTGTCGTAGCTCGAGGTGTGGTGGTGTAGGTGAGGTAGGTAGCTTGGAGTTGGGGTTGAGAGGAGAAGGGCGGAGGGACCTATACCTCGAACTCAGCTCTCGGAGGCGGTGTCGCGGTAGCTCAGCTGGAAGGGAGGTGACAACGCGAAAAAGAAGAGAAAGGCAGCCCTCGTAGGAAAAGAAGAGGGAGAATGAGGGAAAAGGACTTAAAGATGAGGAAACGTGGAGGCGTTTGAAAGAGAAGATGAAAAGTGATTTGAGAGGCGAGTCAAGTCGAGCGAGCATGTACCTTAGTAAAGAGATGGATGGAAGCGAGACCAGCGGCTTTAAAGGGAGACCGAAGTGACACTGGGCGCGTGGTTCCGACGGTCAGGGCATCCACCAGTACCAGCTCCAGCTCCAGCTCCAGCTCCAGCAACCTCCGCTAGGTAGTGGGGGGGTTACCTGGGCTTCTGGGGCCCAGGGCCTGGGGAGGAACGTGCGATGAATCCACCAGGGGCTCTTAGCGGGGACTTGAGCCTGGGTGATGAGTTCAGGGTATGTGACGGTCAAGAATTGTTGAAAGTTTGGAGTTTGGATGAAAGAAAATGAACAAAGAGAGTAGTAACGGTTTTATTTACAATGGGATGTTTGTATTTTGCATTATCGTATAGCTGCAGATTTAGAAAGGGGAAAAAGCTTATTAACTGGCACTGCAATACCTGCAACGTTAACAAATCGGTAGTCATCTCTAGTCGTCTCTGCACACAAGGATCTCTTTGAATCTAAAACAAAACAACATCCGCCAACGCCACCGCTTCCCATTGACATACCTGACACTGCCATGTTTCCTACCAAGGAATCAGAACAGATATAATAACAGCCATATTAATGGATGAGATGGAATGGCCCGAGACCATTCAACGTCATGCGATGCAGTGCGACGCGCGGGGTGTGTTATGTATGCGCATTGTTCAACGACAATCACAGCCTTCAGGATGCTCCCTTCAAGTCACATCACATTCCGTTTCCACATCAACAGCATGCTCACGCAGATGGCAACGCAACCAATCCTTCTTAATAAGCATCATCAACCATTCGGAACCGTGGAACCTATCCGAACTTGTCGCTTGAGTTGCCTCGCTTGTCTTGGTACAGTGGACGAGACGAGACGACGACTCGCCGAGTATCTCAATGAGACGATCCATAGATCGGCCCAAACTAGCGGTCCTCAACGCTTGACACCGCCCTTCCAGAACGTGGCACCAGCATTAATTACAGCCAGATCTCGAATAAGATGAGCACTCTGCCACTTTCAGTACTGGGTTCCCTAATCCGGTAGACCGTTCAAACCGCTCATCTTCAACCGTCAGCCACTCACGGTACGCGCCTCCAAAAGAGACGCCGCCTCTCATGGAAACTATTCACTGAAGCCTCGACGCCCGGGTTTCAGGAGCCGGGGGCCCTTATGCTTCGTGGAGCCTTTACGGGGGAGACCGAAGGCCCGGGCCCCATGCTGGGCTCTGCGGGTGAGAAGCCGGAGGCCTTTTGTACATAAACAACTGGGGACCTACGGGAGTCGAGGGAATAATAAAAACCCTCAAATGGTCTCAGGGAGCAAGAAAACCCGAGACCAAATAGAAGATGCCAAAATAAGCTCATCAAGTAGGCCTCTAAGTTTAGGATGATTTCCCCCCTCCCAAGTCTTTTTGTCACTTGGGATAAAGATACTAGATTTTCTTTCCTCCCTCAACATGGCTCAAGCATAAACATGGCGTGGAGCATGCATGATAGCGTGCTGCCCGCCGCACCGTCAATTGCAAGTCGGTCTGTCTGTACCTGGGAGGCTTAGATAAAGTTGACCAATCCCATTCCTGTCCACGCATTATTCTTTCACTGAGCTACCGTGGCAAACGAGCATTGCATTGCATCTCCTTGTGCTTAGCGCTGCTCAACTCGCTACTGATGGTCGTTCGTCCTGAATCGGAAAGCCAATAGCCACTCAATTTGTTCTCAAAGGTACCGAGTCAGTCAAGAGTCCAATGACCATTAGCCAACCAGCACTCACTCACATCAACCGCTTGACGCCTGAACCTGAACTCTGACTGGTGAGCGCGCCCTTACGCCTTGATCCTGGTGAGACCCTTGCACAGGGATGGTGAGTGATGGCTCAGGGCTGAGGGATGGCCATAACGAGGATGGGCCCAGCTCATTGGGTGTAATATCATAGCCTGGGCGCTATCTCTGGAGGAATGTCGGCCCTGGTCGCCATGACGTCGTGTCTAGAGAGTTGCCCAATGCGAAGTGATGATCTGTGAATGCAGTAAAGAGATACTATTCACGCTCAAGGTTGAACCAGCAACCATCAGTTGACAGTCCCCAATTCACAATATGTTTTGACTCTCTTGACTCGGATAAAATACCACTCCTCAGCAAACCCTCACTGCTCCCGACCCCAGATTCCTCATCTTTTGGTCCTAATCTCAGGGACCTTGCGCTACTGCATGACAGTTCCATATTTAGCTCCCGCCAACAGAATGCTCCGATGCCGTTGGCCATGCTTTTCTCGTATCAGCGTTCGCTGACCTGAAGCAGTAGAGCATTTTCGTACCTTCATTCGTCGTTGTCTTATTAAGCTGAAAGGTGGCTCATCGTATAAAAATAAAGAAGCAAAAGGAGGTCTCTGGCTGTATGCATAACTAGATAGGTACTAATTAACTATGCATTACTCGGCATTATGCTGATTGTCTTGGTTTACAAAGAAATACCGCTCAAAACTCGGCTTCCGTGGGATTTAGTTTATAACGCAATCGCTTACAAGCGGGATGTTCTGTGAGAGGGTTGCAACTTGTGAGTGACAAGGGACAGGTCATCCGTCAGGACGATCACATGTACATCATTTCTTTCACGACTCGATCAGACACAGTATGACATGTCCTACGACGTGGTTCTCATTTGCAACACTGTTGGTTCACCATCATGTATGTATTGTAAGGGCTCTCATATCTCGCGTCTCGTTACCAACAGCCACAGATGGCCCTGAAATGAATCATCCAATATCAGCCGCATACATACGATTCAAGGAACGCCCGTCAATGCAGCCCAGTCTATCGACCATTGATACACATACAGATGCAGGCTAAGAGAAGATGTAGTATCCTAAGTTCCTGGCGCGCTCGCAAGGATCAGATGCTCTCACACGATATCGCCATGATTCCTTTCATATCCAACAATATGCAAGACACTCATAAGTCTCAATATTCCCCTATCTTGTTCCTGGTGCTCCCGGAGGTGGAAGTTGGTCAGGTCCAAAAGACATTGGCAAAAGCTACATAGCGTCAACCCTCAGCTCAAGAACAAAGGGACCAGAGCTCAACTACTAACCTGTCGCAGCTTTGCAATCACAAAATCCTCATTCTTATCGAACATGATAACGGGTGTATCCAGTGTGCAAAACTCGCGAATACTACATCACCGAGAACACACAACTCACCTGTTAGTCAAATCCATCATCTTCGTCTACTCTCTCAAAGACATCCCCAGTAACAAACTCACAACTGTCTACACATTCCACATGGACTCGCCGGTGGCGCAATATCAGTTGCGACAGCGATGGCTCGGAACCCACGATGACCGCTTGTCACAGCTGTACCAAGGGCCACGCGCTCTGCACATGTTCCCACAGGATACGACGCGTTTTCCACATTTGCGCCGCTCGTGAGCTCACCCTCGCTTGAGAGAACCGTTGCTCCGACGCGGAACTGGCTGTACGGGCAGTACGCTGTGGCCTTGGCTGCAACTGCACGCTCACGGAGCTCTGAGAACTCTTTCGGCGTAATGCCGTGTGCTGAACAGACTTCAGCCGTCTTGGCTGTGTCGCCTCTTGAGATAGTCTCTGGGGTCTCCATCATGTGACTTGAAGGGGGGGGAAAGGGGGCAGAAAAGGGGGAAAGGGAAGGGAAAGAAGAAGAGAGGAAAGGGCTTGTGGCAATGGGTGATTGATGTTTATATCCTATTCCGTGTCACTCGTCACTCGTTACACGGGCGGGCCCTTTATCGTGGGTGTCTCCGCATCGGGCGCCTCCGTAATGCGGGGCTGAGCGCCGAAATGACGGACCCTTCGGCTGGTTCCTATGATACCACATTGCTTATCATTTCTTTCCTTCAATAATAGGTAGGTATCGTTTCTAACGTGCAAGGGTATATAGACTAGGTATATAGACTATCTATGTAGGTTGTGTCCAAATATGTATTATCAGATGCTGTCAGCATCTTCTTATCTTCATGGTCTAATATTACTGTCATGACCATCATGCACCTTTTCCTTACATTGCTGCCATCCATTCTCATTACAAATACGTACATATGACACAGAGCAGCACAAAACTCCAAACTCATCGCTCATGCATACTGCTCGGCGAGCTGTTGTAGACTGGTGCTCGAACGAACCCGACGAATTCGTTTCCGTATCCTTTGTCCCCAACTTGCGTTTCTTGTAGGTCTTCTCTTTCATTTCATCTGGATTCCGGCATCTAGTAAAACCCATCAGATCCTCCAAGCCTACTTGAGGTCGAGCTGACTGTTGGCGTCGACTGTGCCGAGCTTGTGTCGCTTGGCGTTGCCGGTTCCACGACCTGACTTCGGATCGACGTGATCCATTCGTGCTGCAATAACTCAACTGCTGACGATCGGTTACGAGGGTCTCTTGTGAAACATTTCTTCAAGAAGTCGATTCCCTGAGGGCTGAGCTGATCTGTAGGTGGCAGCTGGGGCGGGTTCCCTTGCGCGATGTTGTACATGATCGCCCACTCGTTGTCGAGCTGTGCCCATGGCCTTCTTCCGGTAGCCATTTCCAGAATAACACAGCCCAGAGACCAGATGTCGACGGCCCCAGGTTTACCAGGGTTCTCGCCCTTGATCACCTCAGGTGACATATACATCGGCGTTCCTGTCATGGATCGGTTTGGCATTGTTGCTTGCTTCTCGCCAGCAAGTGTGCGGCCCTGCCGAGCAATTACCTTGGCGGCGCCAAAGTCCACATACTTGATGATTCCATTATGGTCGAGCAGAATATCTGCAACATTGTTAGTTTCAGCACATCTGGGGGTACAATATACACCACTTACTTTCGGGCTTGATGTCTCGGTGGGCAATGCCGCTCTCATGCAAATAGACAAGACCCTCGAGCAGTTGAAGCGCATATACCATGATGACCTGCTCGTCTTCGATTCGACCATGTTCCAAGAGACTGGCCAAAGATCCTCCCGAACAAAACTCCATGAAAATGTACACTCGGTCTCGATGCACTTCGATGCCATAGTATGATACCACATTGGGATGATCCAACACTTCCAGTACACCCATCTCCTCTCTAATTTGCTCGGCGATCTGTGGGATAAGTTTGGGATCCTGCAGTCGAATTTCCTTGACGGCCATCAGATGGCCCGTGTCAAGGTTCATTGCTGCATAGACGTTGCCAAATGTGCCGCCTCCCACGAATTGGCCTTGCTGCCAGCGCATCGTAACATTGGTGGCTGATGATGAAAGGTACGCCAACGATCGGTCAACTTCATTATTACCTTCCAGTACTCTTCCAACTCCCTGTCTCTCTGCAACCTTTTCACGTCGATACTCATCTACCCTTTCGAGCTCCTCCATGCGCTGTTCGGTGATGAATCGTGAAGCCTCTTCGTCGTTCAACATTCGGTTCTTGTCAAGCCTGCGGAACTGTCCCACCAAGGCTTCGATTCGTTCTTTCTCGGCCTGTGCCGCAAGGTTCGATCTGGCGCCCATGATATCAAAGTGAGAAATGAGAAGAGACATACACCCTGCGACCTTGGAACGAAGCTTGGCATACTCATCCTCGCCTAGTGCAAGAATGTGGCGGCCTCGTGTCATGCCCATGGCCAACTCTAGCGCGAGTACGGCCCATCGAAAGGTCTTTCGGTCAGATGCAACGCAGTCGTCGCAAATGAAGCTTACCCAATCAAGGGCAAGTTTGGTCAATTTGAGATTGTTCATCTGTCGCCTGTTGCTATCCATATAGAGTAACGAACGTTGGCCAAACTCCGTGGCGAAAACGAAGCATGTTTGAATAAGTTCTTGGCAGTCCTTTCCCCGAGCCTGTTTCCTGATGATTTCCACACTGTCCATGAAAGTATTGGAAAGCTTATATGCCACCCGCCTCGTTTCTGTCAATCTTGAGTTGACTTTGTGGATGTTGGACCTCGATTCCTGCACAAGGTCAACATGCATATCGACAGCGTCAAGGAACGCCCTCCTCGCGTTGTGTAGGGTCTGGGGACTAGAAGCGCAGAGGCGTATGTGTCCTCGCTTTAGGTCGAGGTTCAGGTCGCGTAAGGGTACTTCGATTACTTCGCCAAACCAATTGATGGGATCCTCTGGTCGGAGAATAAGGACATATTGCTCGCCGAGCTCGTCGGGAAACTGGTCCTTGGAAGTAATAGCCATCATAACGGGTATATCTTCCAGCCTCTCCCGTAACTCGGGCGATGCGATAACATATGTATTGTCTTGCTCAAGCAAACGAGTGTCGACTTGAAAGTGACCCGAAGCCACCAATTGGTCGTAGAACTTTTGCATGGTCTCTGGTGGGAAGGATATGCTGTAGTCGGATGCGTGCTCGTAGTTGTCGTTCAGCATTCGAGTGAATCGCTGAAGCATCCGCTGGCGGACTCGTACGGAGTCGAGACAAGCCTTATAACGCTTACTCATCTCCGATGCGGTTTCCTTAGGCTTTGCTTGCAACTCCTTTTCGAAAGTCTGGCTGAGTCTGTTGAGAGCCTTGAATGTGAGTGAGCTAAACTGCTCCGCAACTTCAATGTGACCTCGCTGCAGATGGCTACCGATTTCGTTGGCAAAATCCCATTCTTGAAACAAAAGTTCTGCTTCCTTGAAAGTATTCTTGTTTCCACTCAGCTTCCAGTTTAGCATCTTGAAGTAATACTTCAACGCTTCCAGTACAACTTGGTCGAAAGATTCATCGATGCAAGGTGGTAGATCCCAGCCTGGTTCCGGGTGCGCAATGGATGTGCACTCAATCTTGATTCGAATTGCAAATTTGAGCAGAAGCTGAAATTGGGAGATCATTTGATCCTGCATGAGAGGGTTTTGCTGGGCAGATTCCTTAACTCTCCTAGCATAAGCGAGACGTGTGCGGGTGATCTCTTCGATGAGACGCGAAGGGAAGCTGATAAGAGTAAGAAGCTCTTCGAGATATGGTGGTAGGTGGCGTTTGCGGAACGGCTCGGAATTCCTAATAAGAGTGTCCTTCGCCTTGCTAATGACGGTGGATATGGGTGCAAGCATTCCCTTTTCTAGGTTCCCATTGTCGTCGTTGTAAAGGGATTGAAGTCCGTCTTCTTTCATTAGCCGGTCAAGGAAGGATGTTTCGTCGCTGCTAATACCGCTTACAGCTGGGGATCGCTGTTTGGTCCGTGTAAAGTCGAGCTCATCGTTCCCAACCCACTTCCTCAGGATGTTCAGTTCCGTGTTTATCATTTCGTTGGTGTTGTACCACGATATAATAGCATCATGGGCTTCTTTGAATGTGGCGGAGTCTGCTGCCTTGTGTTCTGCTGCGAGTGAGGCCCAAGAAGGGTATAGGTTCTCACACATCTCAATCTTGGCCACCATGTCTTTGACTTGTTCGTATGGTGGTTTTCCTGCTTCGCTCTCACCCTTCACTTGGAAGTTGATGATCTCGTCGAGGGTACGGTCAAGAGTAGATCGAGATTCCTCCAACATGCGTCTCTGGACAGGGATATGTCTTCCACAAACCTTGGATCGGATGCCCAGCCACAATTCGGTCTTGTGAGCGCTCTTGCCCGCCTGTTGATCCGCCGATCCAATCAGTCGTTTTTTCTCTTGCCGTACGACATCTCCGGTAAGAACGGCCTCGAGCATACCGTGCCACTCAAGCCTTTCGCGGTTCTCTGGGTCTTTCAAATCCTCGTCCGTGGGCTGAAGGTTGTCGTTGCCGTAAAACATAATGGTCTCCTGGTCGAAGCGATCGTCATATGGACCCTCCGACGAGGGGGTTTCGCCTTCTGAGTCCGAATCGTTTCCATTCAAATTCGAGTAAGACGAAAAGTACCCTCCACTATAGTCCTGCCGAAGTTTCTGTACGTATGCTCGCTCCTGTGCTCGGAACCTGCTCTCACTCTGCCGTGGGCGCGTCTTAGACGATGATCGGATTGATTCTGTGAAAGATGGTGTCACTGGCGGATGAGCTGGTTTCCTGGAGGTGGCAGGATTGTAGGTGTTCGAGGGTGTCCGCGCCGGACCCAATGGTCGCTGCGGCCAGGAGCCATTGGGTGTATAGGTCGTGCCATCGTCACCAGCAGCAACTCTCTGTGACTTTGGGGCACCGTTAATGACCGTCCCAGGAAGCAGAGAAGTCAATGACCCTGTGTGGCCCGATGTCTCATATCGGGATAGATTACCCAGCTCGTCCTGACGTTCTGTCGCATGAGGATCGCCGTTGGTTTCGATCGGAGTTTCGTGTCGGTGACTCCTGTTCTTATCGATGCGGCCATCTTCTTCGGTACCTGAAAAACGAACCGCTCGGGGCGATGACTCGGTCATCCTAATGGGTGTGTCTGGGCTGGCACCCAGGTGGAGTTGGAAGTATGAGCGCCCCTCAGCGTCACGTCGAGTTGTCGTGAGTAATACGAAGATATAGTTGTGATTGTGGAAAAAGCCAGTTTAAACGGGTTTCTGTCGGTGCTCGAGTTATGGTCGAAGAGTTTACGATGGATCGAAGATGGCCATGGAGAGGGGGTTGAGCTTGGGGAGCTCCTGATGCAAGCAGATCGAGATGGATCGCATGGAGGAGTGGCAACCAAGAAGCGCGTGCAATTTCATAGCCAATCATCGCGCTTCAAGCTTCTAGTGGCGCATCAACTGTGGCTCGTGTGTAGCAACACTATGGGGTCGGGCCTATCATGAAGACGTTGGGAAGGCGAATCATGACTACTAATCTGCCAACCTTGGAAAAA